TGTACGTTTCAGTTTTCGACAACTGTGATATCTGGCGTGTTGTGTTCCAAGTGAGGATCTGTCTGTATTCGAGCGTCCCACAAGATCTTCACCTTCTCATTTTCTATAACATTTTCCACTTTATGTTCCCATGACTTTTTGGATACAGGAAAGTCGTATTTTTTACATAATGACCAGCAACTCAGTCGTGTCTAGCTTTGTAATCAGTTTGTGCGATTTTGCTGCATTCACATATTAAACGTGAAACAGTTTCAACTTGGTTGTTGCAAAATTGGCAGTTTGGATTGTCGGGTGGATTTTTGTATCTTTGCTTTCATGGCATTAGTTTGTAGTGCTTGTTCTTGTGCAGCAAGTATTAAACCTTCCGTTTCTTTCTTGATGGTTCCCATCTTAAGCCATGTCCATGTAAAGTTATCATCACATTTTCCTTCAATATTTTTCAAGTGCTGTCCATGCAAAGCTTTGGTTTTCCATCTATTTAATCTGTCATCCAGCTGTTTTTCCTTATATTCTGCCTTTTGTTTCTGTTGTTTTTATAATGTTCTCCATTTTCAAAGCCTGCACCAATTTTTCTGTACTTTGGTTCACATAATAATTCAAACTTCGTTTTCTTCTTCTACAGTTCAATGGATTTGCAATAGTCCTAATAGTCCTGTTGTTGTTGTTGTTGTTGTTGTTGTTGTTGTTGTTGTTGTTGTTATTATAGTTAGCTGGTGGTTACTATTAGCTGGTGGTTAGAGCATTGTGAATGGTCTCTCTCTGATGGTGGGATATGTCGTGCAATTGGCTGCCCTGCCGACATGGGACATTTCTTGGTTTGGCTAGAAAGGTTTTAGGGGAAGGGCTTGGTCTGCAGACAAAAGGGCTGTGGGATTATCTGACCTCTTTCATTTTCTGTTCCCCCACACCCACACCCGTGTGTTCCCCCGGTGTGTGCATGCGTGTGTGTATATTCAGCTACTTTGGGGCTTTTTCTAAGCCAGCCACCACTTTTTGCCTTCTCCCTTCAATGATAGTTTGCCCAGCTCACCTGGACTGCTGTGTTTTGCAGGAACCCCTATGCTGGTTTGTGCAGCCGGATGTTGAAACAAGGGCTTCCATTTGAGTGGGCAACCAGTGGGTGCTGTCCTCCTGTGGGGCCCTTTCCTGGGTGGTGCCTCCTAGCCATAGCCTCAGGCATTCTGGAACTGTTTGGTATTTACTTTCCTATATTTCTATATTGTTATTGCAACTAAACTGCAAAAATTGTCAAGCTTTCCCTCCTCCACCAGGTGCTTTAAGATGACTATGTCCTCTCCGGTCAGCCTGGGGGTGCTGGTGCCCCTTCCCCCTGCCCCCCTCCTCTTTCTGTGTAATTTCATTTGAATGGTGTTGGGAGAGGTGAGCTGTATGAGGCCCTGGTCTCATCTTACAAAGCGGGGGATGAACACCAACAAAAGGAAGGAAGGGGCTGTGGCAGAGCAGGGGAGGCCAACATGAGGCCCAGGCTGCTTTGGGGAAGTCTGGCTTTGTCTTTTTTCCTTTTTCTTCTTTTTTTGCTTTTGGCTTCAGCGTCTAAGGAGGCTTGGGGTTCTGCGCTGCTTTTCTTCAGTGTTCACTCAAGCTGAACCCCATAGTGGGGCTGCTGGGCACCGCCAGAGGGGTAGTCTAGCATTTCCCAGTTTGGACAGCCTATCAAACTGGTTTGCTGAAATAACTGCTGGCTAGCCTGCTTCAGACCATGGCTTGCTAACCCTTGGTTGGAAGCATTTGAAAACCGAGATTTGCAATCATCCCCACAAGCCATGATTTTGCCTCTCAGTCTGTATTGGTCATCTGAGGGCAACCAGAATGACTCCATACTGCTTTGTTTAGATGTATCTGTACCACCCATTTCACAAGAAGTGTAACACAAACCCCAAGTGTAAGTGACCCAGAGCAGTGGTAGGTTTCACTTACCTTTGCTACCGGTTCACTTGTGTACTGTATGCCTACTTGCTTCGCTCGCGCGCGTGCCACTTCTGCGTATGCGCAGAGCGTATTTGATGACACCCGGGCGGAGCCTCCCACCACCACTGCTACCGGTTCGCCCAAACCGGGGCGAACCGGCAGCAACCTACCACTGACCCAGAGGCCAATAAAAGTGACCTAGTGAAATCAACTCTCTCAAAAAAGATCAATTTCTTGGGGATAGCACTCACCAGATCAGAGTGATCTCTGTTCTGTTCTGCACATGTTTATAGTTGTGGGGCTGAAACCAATCCTTTCCATGGGGAGCATTTGTCCCAGGGAAGATGCACTTTCAGCAAGCATTGGGAGGTTTGTGAGAAGGCATTTCAGGGAGGAGTAGGGGGAGCAGGGCCTTCTTTCTGCTTTTATGCAACAAGAGAAGCCTTTTCACATGGGCGGACCATCAGCTAGCCATCACACTGGAAGCTCTTGGCTGCCAAAAGTGAGGGGGGCGTTGCATGGTTCGGGCACCCTGTATGAGCAGGGGTGCAGAGTGGCCGCTGCTGCCACAAGGGCTGTGCAGGGATTCGATCAAGGGAAAGGAGGAGGCCCTCGGTTGCATCCCTCCACACTGGCATGAAAAGCAAAGCGTTTAGAATGAAACCATTTTGGACTGGCATCGGAGCCCAGGGTGTGCCCCAGCAGCTCCAGAAAGAGAGACGCCCGCTTCTGCCCCTTCCTGTGGAAGAACAAAGCCCAGCAGTGGGAGGGAAGGTGGAGGGAGCAAGAAGCCATCCTTCTCTGGGCCTCAGATTCTATCCTCCTAGGAAGCTCCAGGGATCGGTCCCTGAGGTGGGGAAGGGAGGCGAGAGAGGAGGCACTGCCAACTCAGCCGAGGGGATCCTTTCAGCATCCTTGATCTACCCAGCCAGCTGAGAGGTGCCAGAAATACAAGCAGCTTCAGGATGGCTGCAAGTTGCAAGGATGGACTTTATAATTTATAAAGTTATTCTACATACATGCATGCATACATACATACATAACATACATACGTACTGTGTGTGTGTGTGTGTGTGTGTGTGTGTGTGCGTGTGTGTGTAAAATATCTTGCTGTTGGACAGCAATGCCCGCAGAACTCTTCTCCCCTCCCCCCTCCTCCCCCCCCCCCCGCATCCGTAGCTGGACCCTGTTTGTGGTGGGATGAATCCTGTTTTCACTCAGTCATTGCACCCCTTCTGAGGGTCAGGTTTCCCTCTGCCGGGCTGTTCCCACCCTTCCCCCTCACTGGGCAACGGTTGCTGGGAGCAGGCTTGGGAGAGCCCCAGGTCCCAGATCAAAGGCCACGACCCAGATGTCAGCAGCCTGGCTGCCGGCCTCTTCTTGAATGATTATCTGGAGTTTATTGTGCGGCAGGAGCAGGGGATTGTCTTGGGGGCTCAACAATGGCTGACAGAAAGACAAAAGTCTAAACTGGACATTTGGTGGGGACCCTGGGACCCTTTCTCAGCAGCTCTCAAATCCCAGCAAGAACATTTGCAATTTTCCTTGGCTGAACTTTGTAGTTTGTCCTGAAAACCAGGGGTGCCAACAGCAGAAGCAGAGCAAAGGCTGATTCTTACCCATGAACAAAAGGGTTTTCTGGGGAGGTCTGGACTGTCCCATGAAGCCCTGCACAGGTCCAGCCTCTTTGCAAACTGTCATCACCCCCACGTGCATAGCTTGGACAATTACCTTCCAGTATTTTTTTAAAAATTCCAGCTAATAAAATGTTGCCTCCTGCCCATCTTTTGCAGAGGGAGGCAGAGATGGCAAAAGAACTTGAAAAGGGGAATGAAATCTCATCCCTGGGAAAGCAGGGTGGGTGGGTGCGAAAGGGCCCCGCCTCCCCATCTGTACATGGAGAAAACTCTGGTGGGTCTTGAAATGCCTCTTGCTCCATAGTCCTTGCCCCGTCTGATTGCTGACCTGCCTACCTCAAAGGGCTGGCCCCCTCCCTCCCTGCCTCCTGGGCTTTCCCAATCCTTTATCAGCTGGGATGAGAAGGTGCCAAGGAGAAGGTTAGGTTGACCTCGGGTTCCTCCTTTGTTTTATCTAATTCTGACCTCTGGCCTCATTTCGGGCCCCTTTGGAGGCTCTCAAAACAAAGGGGGCTTTGGGGGGTCTGGAGTGCTGCCTTTTGCTGGCCTTCAAAGGAAGAATCTCTGAAGAGATCTCCCTCTCTGAGGCAAACGGTCTTGGCTCAGATTTGGGGATTGTCCCCCTGTTTCTACCAAGGGAACCAAAGTGGTGCTGAACATAAATGTTCCTTGCAGGACTTCAAAGACTTGGTTGGCTGGATAGTCTTGATCTCACCATAGAGGTTTCAGTTGGGATGGCCACATTTTGCCACCCCTCCAAGCCTGTGGCTTCTTAAGAGGAAGGGGAAGGGCCCCCTCTGGTGTCCTGCTGTAGGAAGAGGCGGGCTAGATATTCATGATAGACCAGAGTACTCTTGAGAGGAAGAGGAGGGGGACAAAGCTGTGGCTGGACTGATCTTGGTCCAGTGTGGGAGTGGGCTTTGTTTCAGTCCAGTGGTTCGGGGATGATGCTTCTGAAGAGGGGACTCTTAACCACAGGACTGTGAAGGATCAAAGCTCCACAGATTGTAAGGCTGCAGCTACGTCCTCCTGGTTAGGAGATTCAGGGGAGGGAGAGTTTGGGCCCTCAGCTATGTTCCAGGGGGTGTGAACATCCGGCTCCCCCATTCTCCGCTCTCTCCCAGTTGGTAGATGCAGTGTGTTGCTGTGTTCATGCAGTCATTGTGCAGGGCCTCTAGGGAGACCAGTGGCCATGGAGCAGCCAGACATGATCAAGAGCAGTAATGAGTCCAAGGGGCAAATTTGGGGCTGCTGCTGGAGGAAGGAGAGGTGGAGGACTCTCTAATCAGGCCATGCTGGCTGCAATTCTAGGGTGCCAAAAGCACCAAGTTGGCGGAGGCCAGTCTAGAAACTTGACTGAGGATCAGGATGTTGTGTTTCCCACCCAGTGTTGGGTCCTATTGTGCTAAGCAATTATTCTTCAACCTTGTCCAGACCCCAGAAGGAAGTATCACGTGAGGCTGCTGGCATACAACAGCATGGAGGAAGGCTACGAGGCAGACCAGACTGTCAGCACCCCCGGCTGCGTGTGTGAGTCTCTAGCTCATTTTTCTGCTGTAATTGTGGCACGTCCAGAAGCTTTTTGAATTATGTGAATATTGTAAAGTCTGGAAAGGGACAATGTAGGTCCAAAACAGTGGAGATTGGTTTGAAGCTTTCCCATACTGTTCCTTAGCTCCAGATGCCCCTGGTGTAATTGACAGGGGTCTATAAAGAAAAGGCAGTTGGGAGAAGAAAAGCAATTTAGGGCACGGGGTCTTGGCTGCTTGGACTGCAGAAAATGTCACTTGATTTGGAGGCCTCTTTGTTGATTAGACTTCCAATGCTGAGCCTCTGGTCACTATTGTTCTTCAAAAATGGTGGAGTCCTGATCTGGTTCCCTCATGCTTAAGCCATCTCCTCTCTGCAGCTATTCGGGACCGCCTGGTGCCACCCCCTCCACCACCCCACCACCTTTACGCCAAAGCAAACTCTTCCTCCTCCATCTTCCTGCACTGGGGGCGGCCTGCCTTCACTTCAGCACAGGTCATCAACTACACTCTCCGCTGTCACCCTGTGGGACTGCAGAATGCGTCTTTGGTGCTCTATCTCCAAACGTACGTGGCCCTTTTTCACCCTGCTGTCCTCTGAGGAGCTGTTCAGCGCCCCTTCCATTCACACAAGGCAGAATCGGTGCCTTTGCCGCGGCTCCTGCACTGGAAAGGCCTTCTCCATGTCTGGTTTTGAGGCCTGGCGGCTGGCCTGGCAGTTTCTCTTGATTATTATGTATTTAAGATAAAAGATTGCCTGCTTGGCATTCTCTCAATGAGGACATTAGAATCTGCTCGAGGTCTTTTTTGGGTATTGGTAGCTTTGTGTGAGGAAAGTGCCACTGGCCAGGCCCTACCACCTAAATCCAGGCAGAGAAGCAACCCCGGGTCCTGACTGGGAAGAAGGGGAGCCCTGCCACTGTATGGCCAGCCCAGTGCTGCGCCTCCCCTCCTGTGGCAAAGCTGAGATGCCTCCTCCCTGTTGCACACTCAGAGAGGATTGCAAAAAGCAGTGGGCAGGGATCTTTTACTAACCGGTTCCTTCTGTCCAGGTCAGAGACTCACTTGATGGTCCAAGGACTGGAGCCAAATACCAAGTATGAGTTTGCCGTTCGGCTGCATGTGGATCAGCTCTCCAGCCCATGGAGTCCAGTGGTTTACCACACCACCCTCCCAGAAGGTGAGGAGGAGAATGCTGCCTGGTGCTCATTGACTGAGAATCTACTCCTGCCCACAGGGGAGCCTCTCGGGCTCCACTAGGTGAGGCCTCTGGAGCTCCAGAAGCTTCCTTGACAGCCTACCTGTGCCCACAGCCCCAGCTGGTCCACCCCTGGAAGTGAAGGCAACACTGATTGAGGAAGACACCGCCTTGGTCTCCTGGAAGCCACCAGCTGGCATCAGAACCCTTGTCTCCCGTTACACCATACTGTATGCCTCCAGGAAAGCTTGGATCGCAGGCGAGTGGCATGTCCTGCATCGGGAAGGTGAGTGGGAGCCTGCAGATTCTGGGTGCCAAGATTGGTGCCTTCCCACTTTCCCCCAACCTTATGGCTGCTACATGTGTTGCCCTGGAGGTGGCAGCCCTAATCTGCTGGGCTGATTGCTTCAAGTGACCATCTGAAGCAGAAGAAAAACCTTGGCATTTGTTTCCAGAGCTTGCAAGGCTCGTCTTTTAGAAGTCAGGCTGTGATAATAAGGGTGAGTTTGCAGCCACTCCATAACATGATGCCTTCTTGGCCAGTCGTAGATCTCACAGGGATCCTGCACAATGAAGAATCTCAGGAGCAGAAACAGGCTGAAGGGCTGTGCCAAGCAAGGTGCAGTTTGGCACTGGTTATCCAAGGAGACAGAAATGGTTGGCACGTTATCATCTCTCTTTCTTCCTCCCTGCAGGAACAATAACCATGGCTTTACTAGAGAACCTTAGGGTGGGAAGTGTCTACCTCATCAAACTTGCTGCATCCAACGAAGTGGGCGAAGGGCCTTTTTCTAGTGTGGTGGAACTTGTGGTCCTGCCAAAGGAACCCTTGGAGGCAAACCAAAGACCAAAACGCCTGGATTCTGCAGAGGCTGACACAAGTGAGCCCCTGGCCCAACCTGCATGCATCACACAGTCCCTCTGCTCCCTGGGTACTAGGCCCCTCCTCTCTCTCCTAGAAGGGGCAGCCTGGCACATTGTGGGGTGGGCTTTCTTGCTGTGGGTGTCCCACCAAGGCCCCTGGGATAGACGTGCCTGTTTCCTTGTTGCAGCTCGTTCTGGCTCTTATCAGTTGGACCAGAGGTCAATGACGGGCATAATTGCAGGTGTCTCCATTGCCCTGGGGTGCATTTTAGTCTGCATCCTTATCCTGATCTACCATGGCAAAGCAAGGTAAATTTGTTGTACGTGTGTGAGTGAAAGGCTGGGTGGGCCCACAGTGCCAACATAGGGTGTGCAAGTGCATCTGAGTCTGTGTACGCAGACCAATAGCGAATCCTTACTGAGAGAAGCTCAGGCTGTAATGGCCTAGGCTCAGGGACAAAGTGACCAAGTAGCTACTGGTCAAGCTCTTGCTTGGCTGCCCCATTCTGAGGGTAGGCTGCTTGTCCACCTGTTCTGTCTCTTAACACTCTCCCACCATTAATTTGTACGATGCCAAGGAGTGGGAAATGGAGAAGGCAGAGGTTAGAGGAGTTGCAATATCAGGGGGAATTCTTTCCTTTTTCTTCCTGCCCCTCCACCCATTGTCAGGCTTCCACTGCCCTCTCCATTCAGAATGGGGTTGCTGTGGATTGGAGCTTACCAAGCGGTCAACCTTCAGCTGGAAGGGCAGTTTAACCACTGGTTTCCTCTTGCCCAGGAAAGCAACCCCTTCCAAAAGCAGCCAGCCCAGCCCTGACCCACTCCCTCGCAATGGCAGCCACTCTTCTACAGAGAGCCACGGGGGAGCCAAAACTCTGCAAAGCCTGGCAGAGAATGAGCGATCTCTCTTGCCCAGGATTACAGGGGGAAGCTTTCTGGATGCCAAGGTACAAAGATACATTTGTTTGCTTTTTTGGCTCAGATGCAATTTGTGAGGTGGCTTATAGCAAAACAACTAGCTAACCTCATTGCAGAATCAAAGGGCAGAAGATATAGGAGAGATCTCAGGGGACAAGGCATTGCAGAGTCTGGTGGCCCAACACCCCTGCCTTTGACCTTGACCACGAAGGAGAAGACCACTCTGGAGGACCTTAAAAGGGAGTGAGCAGGCTGCAATAAGAGGAGGGGTCCTGGAACTAAATTTCCCAGGGCTTTGAGGGTAGGGAAAGAAATAAAAACTGGGTCCTGAGCAGGAGTTTGCAACTTGATGTGAGATCCAGTCATTGTGACTTTCCAGTCCAGCTCTATATAAATCAGGTTTTATTCATGTATGGTTGTAAATAGGAATGGAATACCCTTGGGGAGGGGTCCTCATGTGGGACAGCAGCAAAACCCTTCAGGGGTCACCTTGGAGAGGCTGCTAAAGATGTGATGTGATTTCTTTTGCCTTTGGCTCTGCCCTTACTTGTGGTGTGTTTCCTATGTTTGGTGGTTTACCTGCATTTTTTAATACCGGCAGCAACAGGTGGGATAGTTGCCAAGTATGGCAATTAGGTGATCCCTCGGCCTCACAGAAGGACTGTGGCTATCTCTTCCCTTGCTGGTCTGGGGGAGAGTTCTTGGGGTCTTTCTGTCTTCTGGCAGAAATGCAGGTTCACTCGCAAAGGGGATTGGCATTAAGGGGATGGGCAAGGGGGCTTTGTCCATTGCATGCTTTCCCAGGAGTAAGTCCCACGATGTTCAGCAGGGGCTATGCCAATGAGAGTGTCCAGTAGTCCCAGACCATAGTTGACTCTTGGGGACTGGACCTAGGAGCCAGTCTGTGGGCAGGCTGGCCTTGGGCTCTTCTCCTTTTCCCTGAGAATAATGGAAGACTCTCCTCCCCTTCAGGGTGGAACTGACCTTATTATAAACCGCTTTGGTCCAGTCACGAAGAAGAGAGCCCAGAAGAAACGGCTCTTCCTCCATAGCTCTCGGAAGGAGAAAGCAGAGGTGAGAGCTGCAGCCCCATTGACCAGCACAGGAGAAGGTCTGCCTCCTGGGGAGATCGTACCTCTGCTGTGGTCCAGGCTTTCTACTCTTCGCTGGCTCCTCCCCTGATACAACACGCTAAGTGCCTGGAAAAGGGGGGGTGGGGTTGTCTTCTGCATGTCCTTCTCCAGTGGTGGCAACCGCACAAAAACAAAGGGGGCTACGCTTCAGGTCTAACTCCTTGTGAATTTAGTTAACACCCTGGGCACTCCCCCCTCCCTCAGCCTGGCAATACCCGGCTAAGAAGTTCACTGTGAGGCTGCAGCTAGGCTGCACCTGTGCATGATGTTTGTGCTCTTGGACTGCTTACCAAGTGATGGGGATGCCCTTTCAGGCATCCTGTGTGCCCAGCAGGCTTTGCCAGAGCAGGGGCAGGTCAGGCCCCTGAGAAGTTAGAACTGGCTTGGCAAGGGACCTTTAAGGCACCTGGGCTGGGCTTGTGCTGGGAGAGGTCACAGGGCCGTCCACTCCAGCTGGCATCCCGGGGCTCTCTGAACCCACAGCAAATGCGGCCAGAACCTCCTTGTTTGATTTCTCCTGCTTCTTTGGAAAAATCTTATTCCCTTCTGCTCCTCAGTCACAGGTGCTGGCAATGTGCAAGGACCAGTCACTGCCCAGCAAGATCAGGTGTCTCAGCAGGCCGTCCCACAAATAAACAGGCCCTTCCATTCCCAAGAAGGCTACTTGCTAGTGAGGCAGGTTCCATTCACAAAGCTCAACTGCAGGGTGAGTGGCTCACTTTCAGTGGGAGCTGCATCAAACATCCAGCTTCTGTCCTTCCTGCAGGCCCCGAGGCAGATGGCCTCAGCAGCCTTCCTGTACCGGTCAGGGGCAGCCATGCTCATTGGTGAAGAGCAGCAGCCAAGTGCCCAAGTGATCTGCAGCCTAGGAAATGACACAGAGCATTCAGCCAACAGCCAAGGCAGCCACGAGACTGGGGATTCGGGAAGGTTCTCCCATGAGTCCAACGAGGAGCTGCATCCTCCTTCTGGCTTTGGGGCTGCAGATTCTTTCCCAGGCAGCAACTCGCATCTGACAACCAGCTGTCCTGTCTCTAAGCCTCTCCAGCCGCCGCTGGCTGCCAGTGGCAATGGGACATCTTGCAGGGAACAATGAACTGGGAGGCCAAGCTTTCAGTGGGATGCCCGAGGACTGGCAGGCAACCTGTGTTTCCACCGCCTCTTTGTGTTTTCCTTCCCTAGTGAATGTCCAGTGTGCAAAAATGTGAAAGGAGAGCAGGATGGCCCTCCTCTCTGTCACTGGAGCAAAGGTGCCCCCTTTGCTTGGATATCTACCTCAGCTTGCCAAGGCAGACGCCAAAGGAAGCAACCGCACTACCTCATTTGCTTGTGTGAAAGTATTGCTTGTGGCTGCAGGACTGGTGATCACTTCCTGGCAGCCCCAAGTCCTTTCCCTGAATGTATGGAGAGCAAGTGTGTGCCTGTGAGCCAAGGAGTTGTGTTGGGAAGCAGAGGGGTCTGCCCCACTGGCCTTGGGCAGAACGATCCCCAAAAGAGGGTCACTCCAGGGGCCGGGGGGCCAAGGCTGCAGGTAGCTCTGGGGCCGTCCATGGGCCACCCCACCCCCAGGGTCCCACCTGCCTTGTCAGTGCCTTCTTCTAGAGTCCACAGTTGGGGAGACCGGGAGGGGAGGGGGGGGCTTTCTGTCTCTGCTGTGATCCCTTGGCCAGATGATTCCCCCAAGTGTTCTGGCGGTAACGGTGCCTTCCATTAGATAGTTATGAACTCACTGCTTGCCTTACTTATGAAGTTTCTCTGGAGTGCAGAACGAGGCCTTACATGTGCTCTGCAGGTTACCTTGGGAATCCCCCATTGATTTCCCTGGCTGGTCCTGAGCATGGAAGCCCATTCGACTGGGACATGGCCCCCAGGCCAGTGCTCGGACAAGCCCCTCCCCCCTAAAGGCACAGTGGAGCATCCTCTTGGTTCCCACACAGCTCTTGTTTTATACTACCTCTTTTTAAAATTATTGTAGTGTTATTGTTTTCCTGTGCTCAGGGTGCAGTTAATTACTTTTAAGCTGTCTTGCGTGTTGTAAGGCAAACTGACAGGGTATCTCATGTTTTGTTTTGTTCTGAAGTTAGTGAGTGAGCGAGTGAATGAGATGGTGAGCAAAAGAGAGAGGTCGTATTCACCAAAAATGTGAGCTAGCTGGTACAGTTCCCTACTGTTTCCATTTAGAAAAGGTTTGGCCAAATATCCTAGATGTGACTCCCAGATGGCTGTCTTGCAGGTGACAGGAAATATACATTTAGGACATGAGGCTGGTTGTGGGTCTGAATGGGGCCTTGCAAGAGCCCCCAGAGGCTGCTGTGTCATTTGAGAGCGTTGGCCAGGCCGACACTGTCTTTTCCACCATTTTTCTGATGCAAAGGCTTTAAAGAAAATAATAATCTTGTACCAAAGAATGTTCTGTGGGAAGGAGAAGAAAGCTTCATATTTTCCCCAAAAGATAATTAAGATAGTTAAAAAACGCAGCATCAAATAATTTGAATGCCTAAGTAGATAGGAACCCAAAAGAGCTGAGAACCAAATGGAGATTAGGAGTGGACTGGGTGGTTTTACAAAGTGATCTTTCGTGTTATTGCTGCCAGAATAGTTTTATAAAAGTTGGAGTAAGAACCTCTCAGCGCCAGTGACTTCAAGTGTCATTTTATTTTCCTTTTCTTCAGCAGTTCTATTAAGTAGCAGAGAGAATATTTCTGAATGTTCATTTATACTTGTTGAAGAAAAGGAAACTCGTTTGCCAAAGATTGATGGGGGTGGTGTGTCTTGTTGGCCAGAGCTGCGCCTGCCCTACCATCAAATGATGTCTGCTCAGGTGGGCAGCTTGCTGAGTTTCATGGCAATACCTTTCAAGGCCCGCTGTGCTGAGGAGGCCCCCTTCTTCTCCAAAGACTTGTTTGCTGTGAATATTGACACTTTTGGACCTCTTCTGGGGACGAGGAGGCAGTGCCAGGGCATTCTTGATTCTGGCAGTTGGCAGCTGAAGACACGCCCCGTCCCTTGAGCCCTTTGGTGAAGCCCTCAGGATGGAGGAGCCTGCCCTCACACAGAGGTGTGGGGCTGGAGCAGAGACATCCTGGCCTAGGAAGGTGCGCTGATGACCTCCTTGGGTCTTCTGTTTTTCCTGTAGAGTGTCCTTTTCTCCCGAGTTGCCAGAGCACAAGCTCAAGAGAGGGAGGGAGGGAGGGAGGGGGATTTGCAATTTGGAAATAGTTTGTGTCCAAGGTTGCAAAGCAGCAAATGAAGAAAACCAAAGATATTTAAGGCTACCTCGACATAGAGGCCTATGCTAGGTAGGTAGGTGACCTTTCTTTACTTTTGTTGTTTTTGTTGTTTTATTTTGTTTTGAATTGACATTACCTTTTCAGGTGCTCCCCCCCCACACCTGTATACGGGGCTGTGTGTGTGTGAATGATCTTTCCTTCATTGCAGGGCAAACTTGGGCTAGTGTGGGGTGGGGGTTGAGGATGACTCTCACCAGGGACTGCCCCCAGCAGTTCCCTGGGACATCCAAGAAAGCATTTGGAAGCATGACCTGACCCTCCCAGTGCATATGCTGAGCTTGTGCCATCAGCAACCTGCACAGGTGGAGCACTTGGTTCACATGGAAACATCTGTAACCAGGTTCTCCATTCTGAAGAGCAGTGAAACGCCCCTTGAGTGAAGGCCATTTTTCCAAATACCAGTTCAGGGCATCTAGTCCATGCAGTGCCAGAAAAAGAGCCAGGTGAGGTGCACAAGGTGTCTGTGTGTGCAGTTTGCAGATCTTTGGGCAGTTGAGTGTGGCTCTCCCCCTCCCCCTGGCACCTGGGGGACCTCCTGACCTGTATTGGGGGGCACAGCTGAGCCGTGTGGGCTCGGCCACAATGATCTCCAAGCATTGTGTATAAAGCCTGTGCTTTGTGAACCTCACCAGTCATGGCAGGTTCAGCAAACCTTCTTTCCATTCGTTTGGGAGACCCTTATCCCAAGTTGCAGGTTTAAGACACGTCTTAATTTTGTTTTGAACACTATCCTGAATTTATCCATCTATTTAAAAAGAGTTTAATGTTTTTCCATCTCATCCTTGGGGTGCTTCAGAACTCTAGCTGGCATTGTCACCACAAGATTTGCTCTGTTTTTTTCTGTGACACATTTCTTTGGGCACAACTGTTTTGCTGCTGCTTTTACTCTTCTTGTTCTCAAGTACCACCCCACCTCAAAAGCAGGGCAGTGAAGCCTCAGGAAAAGGGGGTTACAATGGCATCACCAGGGCATCCCCTCGCACACCTTGGCTGCCTTGCCTTGTATCTCAAAAATGGGTGGCAACACCACCCAACTCTCACTTGCACCTGAATTCATTTTCCATCTATTTGGAAGAGTAACTAAAATCAGAGCAGGAGGGAAAGGTGAAGTGCCTGAAATCAATCACATCTGGATTCCAGTTGTGCATTGGAGCAAGTGTGAACCTCATCACTGGTGTGTACTTTGCTGACTCCAGACTCTTTGGGCAAGTTGGCACATGGAGCTTCCACCCCAAAGCTGTCTCAATCTTGTTGCTGCACACACAGAGCACTTGCTGCATCAGGCCTGGCACTTTGCTAAATGGCTGTTTAAAATGAATTTGCTTTCGTGTATTCTTGAAGATGTGAATGAATTGCCAGTGGGGGAGTCCAGCAAGGCTTTTTGGCCAAGGGTGGTCTGGCTCTTGCCACTCCTGCTGTTTTCTTGAAGGGCCATCAGTGGCTGGCTGGCCAATGGGGGAATCGAGCTGAATTATATTAATTTTATATTTGACTCAGGGGATCAGCTCTGTGAACTCCATTGCGTCAGGACAGTTGGTGACGGTCTGATAATGAATGTACCTTGTCTTTTTTAAACATTTTGCTTATAATGTGCTTTTTTTAAAAAAAAAAATTGATAGCATAGTGAATGTTTACCTGTGTCCTTCCTCTTTCCCTTCATCAGTTCCCAGGCTTGTCCTGATGCTAGCACAAACGTCATGCCAAAAATGAGTAGAAATTTAAATGCCAAAATGTTTATGAAATTGCTCTCTTACACAAATGGATTGCACAGTTGAAATAAAAGTTTCCTGTAGTAACCTGTAGCCTGTTTCCTTTTGAGGGCTCCGTTGTTCTTTTTCCCAACTCTTCGCGGTGGGACTCGGGTGACCGGGGCAAACGAACAACCAGGGCAGGACCTGTGCATTTTGGGGTGGGGGAGGGATGTGCCGGGACGCCACCGACCCCGGCCCGTTGCCAGGAAGCGCCTCGCACGCAGGCATCTTTCGAAGCAGTGGGCAGCAGGGGCTCTTGGGGGTCCGCGGACAACGGAGCACTTCCTTGGATGGGGAGCTCGGGAGGAGTAACGTCCGCCACCCGGGGACGCCATCCCGACCTCCAACCCACCGGCAGACCGAGCTGCGGCTCCTGGTGGGGGCAGGGCGGGAGAGAAGCGGCCAGCTGGCGGAGAGGCCGGGCTGTGCATCGCAGTCGCCGGTTCGGCGGCTGCCTGGGTGCTGCGCCTGCCAGGTGGGGCGGGCCACCATGGAGCCTGGCGCTGTGCTCAAGAGGCTCCGAGGTGGGTGCCGCGGCCCAGTGGGGAAGGGGCGTCCCCAGAGCGGCGATACGGAGCTTGCGCTCGGCTCTTACAGGGTTGGACGGTGGCCTGGAGGACTTGGGTGCCGGGCTGCAGCTGGGCAGCCCCGACAGGAAGAAGAGTAAAGACGGTGTGCAGGTAAAACAGCGCACCTGCGCGCTTTCCCACTGGGCCGGCGTTGAGGAGGCGGGTGCGGGCCGCGGTGCGGGGACCGCCCTCCTGCGGGGCTCAGGCAGGAGTAAAATGCTCCCAGTTCGGGCCAGATCGCCTGATCCAGTAGCAATGGTGGTGGATGGTTCGGAGAACCGGTAGCAAAAATCCCTGCCCCCCCCACCCCCCACACGCAGCTGAGCAGTGAGATCATCAGAGGCTTTTTTTTTTTTTTACTTTTAAAAGTATTTTTTCTACAACCTCTGGCTGAAAAAATGCTTCTAAAAGCCTCTGATGATCGCGTGGCTCAGTTGGGATCGTCAAAGGCTTTTTAAAGCATGTTTTTCTACCACCTCTTCAGCCGAGGAGGTTGTAGAAAAAAGGCTTTTAAAAGTAAAAAAATAAAAAGTTGACCAGGCCCACCCAGTTACATTACCACCACCACCAAGCCACGCCCATAGAACTGGCAGTAACAAATTTTACATTTCACCACTGGGCTCAGGCGTTTGCTCTTGGCCCCCGCAGGGCGTCCCCTTCCCCGCGCCTCCCTACGAGTACGCCCTGCCGCCTAACCCGAGCGCCAAGCCAACTCCTTCGATGACGGCTATGTCGCCGCCTATAAGCCCGCGGGGGGGCCCTACTTCACTTACCCGCGTATCCTGGCTTCGGGGGCTACAACGCCTTTAGGAGGCCGCCTTATCTGTTGTCTCGAGCGGCCTCCCCGTACGGGGCGCCCGCCTTCCCACTCCGTCACCACCGCCCCTCTTTGACCAGAGCCCGGCGGGGACGGCCTTCAGCAGGGCTCCGGCCATAACCTTTGGGCCGCCCGAGAACGCGACGGGCATCGGCCACCAGCCCTTCTACAGCGCCAGCCAGGCCCTGCCCAGGTGAAGGCTTTCCCGAAGCTGGGGGTTAACAAGCACCAGCCCCCTTCCCAGCGGCACCACCCCACCCTACCTCGCTCGGAGCAGAGGACCTGCTGAGTTCAGGAGCGCGGATGTAAAGGCCAGCGGGCACGGGCAGAGCCCAGTGGGCACTTCTGAGGGGGTCCAGCCAAAGCACATGGAAAACCTGAACAGTGCCCATGCGAATGGGACCCCCACTAAGCCCTGCCTGCCCTGTGGAGGTCCCGAGGGAAGCAGCTCTGAGAAGGGAGGGGGGCGGCAGCAAAATCCCGCTGCAACCCCCCCCCAGCACCGCCATGTGCTCTCTGAGCCAGCTTACCCATGTGGGATTTGTACCCTGTGAATGCCATCCTCTGCAAAGCCGCCTGTCAGAAATGGTTTCACCAGATCTGCACAGGCATGACGGAGTTGGTGTACGGTCTGCTGACCACAGAGGCTTCGGCAGTCTGGGGCTGTGATACTTGCATAGCAGGCAAGGATGTGCAGCTGATGCGCACCAGGGAAATGGTGGGACCACCGGCCCTGAACACGGACACCTGAACAAATCCCTTCCTCCCATGGTTTGTGAAACTACTATTTTCCACACATTTTATTATCTGCCCAAGTGCATTAAGCTTTCATCAGAAGAACTTGAGGAGATGCTCTCTTCCTGATAGTGAGGTTTAGGCCTACGAAAGGGCTGTTTTTGTATAACTGCTGATAGAATGCAGTGGACGAACCATAATGTCGCAATATATTATTAGTACCTCTTACTATCTTACTCTGTTTCTGCGCTTTCTCCAGTTGAAAAGGCAGAAGGTCCAACCCAGAAGGAAAGGAAAGCAGTTGTTCTTCTATGGGGATCCCTGGGAAATGATTTGTATATGAGCTGGAATTTATCTAGTGAGGGTAACCCAGCTAGTCTTTTTGAATTCTTCTGCTATTTTTATAGTGCCTACTTTTGATCACATTTAGTATTATGTGCAGGGCCTTTGCAATAAACAGATCCAAGTCTTTCTCAAAATCTCTCTCTCTCCCCCTCCCTCCCTCCCTCCCTCTCTCTTGTCAGTTTCAAGCAGCCCGTTACCAAACAAGGGTCCTCGAGAACCAGACTTTCAGTGCCCGATAGCCAAACATGTAAGCCTTCTCCCTGAAATGCCAGGTACAGAGCTGGCCACTATGGCCATCTACTGACCCCCTGGCAGGTGGTAATTGAGTGTGAGATCCCAATCAACATGGCTACCAGCCATGATTGTGGAGTTTTATCTGGGAGATTAGGATGAGGATGGACAACCCTACAGAAGCATCTTGAGAGGAGTAGTAGCAACCACATGGTCACCATTCATGGGAGAGGGGCTGCATGTCCCAACCTTCCCTGCAGTCCAGTGGCCATTTTTTTGAAACCATCTTGAGCATTTGGAGGGGCTTTGATTCCCAGGTGCTTGCCTAAAAACAGGAAAAGTTGGTGGTAAACTGGCATGTGTTTCCAGTTCCTTTGTGGATGGGAACATCTCATACTGTTTCCCTTCTTCTAGAGGAAATATGGTGCGCTATTCCCGGGGGTAGGAAAGTCTCCCAGATAGCAACCACCACAGCAATACAACTGTGCAGATGAATCCAAAATTTGGTTGTGACCATACAATCTGGGAATTCTAGGATCTCCATTGAGCAAATGGCAAATGCCTTCATAGCTGTGAAGATCAATCCAACAATAAAAACCAAATGAACAAATAAACACCACACTAAGCACTTTTTTTCATTCCTTGTCTTGGGAGATAAATCAGAATGGATTTGTATCTCTGGGCTGGAAACAATTGAAGCAAAAATAATAATTTGGACAACTTAATCCAGAAGTAAGTGATGGAAGCCAATTTAGAAATCTGTTATTGATTCTAGCTTCCATGCTCCTGGAATTTGGGGAAGGACTGTTGTAACTAGTTCTCTTCCGCTCCTGGTTCAGGTATCTGTGTGGCTTTAAAACACCTAGCGCTCTATTAGCTGGTCCAAAGTAGAGTCTCAAAGCAGGCAGGGGTTTTGCCGCTGCTGCTCATTCTACAGATCTGACCCTGTGCTGGGGGAGGCCACTGCTCCCCCACCCCCCATGGACACAGAAGCCACCCAAGTTGAAAGAAGATATTTATTTATTTGTTTAAATTTCTATACCGCCCTTCTCCAATGTAGGACTCAGGGCGGTGAACAGCCAAAGTAAAAACAAGACATACATACAAAACATACAAAATCTAAAATCTGTTTAAAATAATTAAATAATTTTGGCCGTAATTAAAACATTCCAATTTAAAATCCGTTTAAAATTTGACTCAAGCCAGCCCAGCTAGTTGAAATAAATGGGTTTTTAGGGCCCGACGAAAAATCCGGAGGTCTGTTATTGTACGTAGCTCTGGGGGGAGGTTGTTCCAGAGGGCGGGCGCCGCCACAGAGAAGGCTCTCCCCCTTCCCTTTTTCTCATCTGTGCCCTAATTATGTGTGGAATAACACTTCACATTTACAAATTGTGGGTATGTTTAAATACCCTAATGTGGATGTTCAAATCTGAGACATTTTTTTTTAAAAATGTGACTTATGTTTTTCATTTCATTTCATTTTATTTTATTTTATTTTATTTTATATCTATGTATGTATGTATGTATGTATGTATGTATTTATTTATTTATTTATTGCAATTTATATGCCGCCTTTCTCCCTAGGGACTCAAGGCGGCTTACAAAATGACAACTTCAATACAAATCACAATACAATACACAATTAAAATCAGTAACCCAATTAAAAAACAATTTAAAATTATACCAGTGTACCTCCAAATGGATCAGTTTAATTGGTGGAAGAGGCCACGTCTTCAGCTCGCGACGGAAGGAAAGAAGGTCGGGGGCTGTCCTGAGCTCAGTGGGCAATCCATTCCAGAGGGTCGGGGCTCCCACAGAGAATGCCCTCCCCCTGGGGGTCATTAGCCGACATTGTTTGGCCAACGGCACCCTGAGAAGGCCGACTCTGTGAGAGCGCACAGGACGATGGGAGAACGGCTGGAGATGGTCCTGCAAGTACCCCGGGCCTAAGCCATGAAGAGCTTTATAGGTGAGCACCAGCACCTTGAAACGTATCCGGAGTGCCACCGGTAGCCAGTGCAGCTCACGCAGGAGAGGTGTTACATGGGAGTATCTAGATGCCCCCGTAACTACCCGCGCGGCTGCATTTTGGACTAGCTGAAGCCTCCGGACACATCCCAAGGGCAGCCCCATGTAGAGGGTGTTACAGTAATCCAACCTAGAGGTAACAAGGGCGTGAGTGACCGTGGCGAGGGCATCCCGGTCTAGGAACGGGTGCAACTGGCGCACAAGACGGACCTGTGCGAAGGCCCCCCTGGTTACGGCCGTCAGATGGTCATCTAAAGACAGCCGAGAATCCAGGAGGACACCCAAGTTGCGGACCCTATCGGAGGGAACAAGGGTTTCACCTCCGATCATTAAGGATGGGACCTCCAGATCCCGGGATGCCGGCATCCACAGCCACTCAGTCTTTTAATGGGAATGTTGCGGCAAAGTTGATGTAATTCAAATTGGAATCAAATTCCCAAACTTTGTCCGTTATTGTTCCGTTAGTAAGAAATGAAATTACCATGTAATGCAAATGATTTCATATCATGGTGCCTGGGTGAGCTACTCTATGAAGTGCAGGAATGACGTTTCTGTTTTTTCTATGTGGATGGATGGATGGATGGATGGATGGATGGATGGCGAGCTGAGCGGACCTCACGCCAATGATTAAACCGGTTTTTGATCTATTTTGTCGTTCGTGGAATTTGTGTCCGCTCTGATCGTCCTCTTCTGGGAAATGGGGGCCGCCACACCGTCCGTTTCCCTTCAGCGGCGTCGAACAAGCGCCGGCCCGAGAAGCGCCGGCGGACCGAGGCGGCCCCAAGCAGGCGCACGCGGCTAGAGCGGCTTCAGGCGGAAGTCTGCGGGAGGCGCGGCCTTCCGGCAACCCTGGCGTCCTAGCAACGGCCGCCATGCCCGTCTGGGTGCGTGACTTCAGCTGGGAGCAGACGGCCGAGACCGTTCGCCTGACCGTGCCGCTGCGGGCCGGCCGCCTCCGCCGCCACGGCCTCTTCTGCACGGAGCGGTACCTCAAGGTTGGCGCGAGGGGCGGCCCGGGGGACACCGCGCGGAAGGCCCGGCGGACGCCAGGTAATCAGCTGCTGCCCGCCTCCCGCAGGTGAACGCGCCGCCGCTGCTCTTCGAAGCCGCGCTCTTCGCCCCCATTGACGCCGAGCGCAGCCGCGCCGAGATCCGGGATGACTGCGTCGTCTTCACCCTGTTCAAGAAGGAGGCGGCCCCGTGGGCGTCCCTGCGGGCGGAGGACGGTGAGGGACCGGTGGGGGGGGGAGGGCTCCGCTGCGGGTGGGGGTCCTGCCCAAATCCTCCCCTGCATCCCGTGAAGCCGGTTTCTGTCTCCTGCCCCGAACCTTTCCCAGCCGAAATGGGTTTTTCAGGGAACGAAGCAAAGATGCGGGAAATTCGCGAGGAGGCCGTCCGCCAAACTCAAGAGGAGGCCCGAGCGAAAGCAGCGGCGAAGTCTGCAGAGAAACGGGAACGCGGCAGACTTGCTCTGGATGCCGCCATCAAGGTAAACGGTCCTTCAAGGAGGTAAAGCACCGCCAGTGGTTGCTGTCCAAATCAGCTTAGTTTGCCTTCCAGCCTTAGGATTCTGACCCATCACAACTCACACCTCTTGGTGGTCTTTCTCTTTCCTCCTTCCTTTTCTCTCTTCTCCCTCCAATTACAACACACCTCTGGCCTTTCTACTTTATGGGCCATGGAGCCGCCTCTTCAGAAGTACCATTCCTCAACTAAGGGTGTCTTAATTACAGGCTGAGATAATCTGTGTTCAATGCTTTACCGTCTGTTGTGTCTAAGCTCTACATCTTGTTGGCCTGGTATTTTCACATTTGAACCCCCATAGCTGATTCTTTATTTTTCTTTCTCAAGCCATGGCAGCTTCATTGCAATACACATTTTGTTCCTTTTCTTATTGTAACTCTTCTCGAGTTTGGGCCAACTGGTCCTCTATTCTTTCTGCAACAGTTGAATTCTAATTTCCGTTGTCCCATTAAACTTGTTTCCCTACATCTATTCATAGTACTCAGCCTCAAAGCTTCTCTCTACTCAACCTGCGTCCTCTGTTCTTTTCTTCATTCTCACTCACCCCCTTTTCATTGTAGTGGAACTTTTGCTTTTCCTAGCACCCATTGGAGGGGTTATCGAGTCTGGTGAATATCCAGTCTCCACCTACTTCACTCCTAAGTGCTAGCAATGTCTATGTATACTGTACATGCAGCTCAGAGTCATTTGTGATTGGAGCAACTCATAAGTCTATTAAAATCAATAAATAAAAGGCTAATACTGAAATGCTTCTGGAAATGAGGTATTATACTATCAGTAGGTGGATGAAGAATTATAATTAAAACTAGCTGTTCAATTAACTACCATTTGCTGTGGGAAATCAGAAGCATTTCTACAAATCCTCATTATGTTCAGATGATACTGTAGAGAAGAGATGCCGGTGCCTTTGAGTTTTATGGAGCAGGCTGCTCCTAGATTCTGCCTTATATATAACTTCCCTGTGGCCTTCTGAAAACAGTGTCTCTGAAAGTGGGAATCTTAAATTACCTGCCTGATAAGTCGTTAATGAGGAAGCTTGCCTCTCAACAGAAAAATAATTTCAGAATGAATGTCCTATAATTCAAACAGCTAGAAGAAGCAGAAAGAAAAAGAATAGAAGAGCTAAAAGAACAAGAACGGAAAAAAAGCACTGAGGAGATTGAGGCATGGAGGAGGCAGAATGAGATGCAAAAGGAAGTATGTACTAAGTTGCAACTGCCAGAGAGAAATATAGAATTCCTTGGAGAAATAAAAGAATGCCAGAACTTGGAATCTTTTGCTGGAAAGGGAGTGTCCACACCAGGAGCATTAACTAAAGGTATTAACATTCTCATTGTGTTACTATATGGATGAACATTGCACTTTCTTTCATGGGACACTGCAGTCTTTTTGCTTTGATGTGACTGTTTGTGTTTATTTAAAATATTTTTTTTAATTAAAAGCCTCCCACGTTGAATTTCAGTGTACAGATTCACAACATTTTTTTAAGTGTTTTTAATTGTTTTATCTATCGTTTTTAATTAATGGGGCCAAATTTATATATATCTTTTTAATTGTATTTTAATATTTGTACTTGATGTTTTTACTTGGCTGTTCACCGCCCTGAGTCCTCAGGGAGAAGGGTGGTATACAAATTCAAAATAAAATAAAATAAACATATAATGTGAACTAAAACCATAAACCTTTCAAAGATGCACAAATATTATTCAAAAGCATTTTTCAAACAATGCTGATCAATTCCTGTAGTGCCTTCTTTTGTTAGCTCAAGGAAAGGGTTACAGTTAGAGACAAAGGCACTTGCAGGCATTCAGCCTCTAAACTCTGCTTCAAGTTCTGCAGTGATATCACCCTGGGGAAACCAGACCGAGGCCGTGATGGTTACATATACAAAAACATGTGTTAAGCCCCAGCAATAGCAAAAATGTGGCAAAGAGTCTATCTCCTTCCAGCTCACTATAGTGTTAAGAGGAAGAGTGGGGAGAACTCGGGGTGGGGGTGGGGGTGCTTTCAAGATTCTGTTTCTATGGCCTATATCAATGAAATAAAATTCCATTCAGATATTTGGAATCTGCCTCAAAAGGCTGGCATGATACAAGTTTACAGCCCCGTATTTTTTGTGTGTTTTCCCCCCATCTACACAGGACATAATTCTCATAGTAGTACATTCTAGGAATGCCTCATAAGGATATATTTAGTATTTGGTTTCATTCAAATCTTCTTGTATTTGTATCTGCATATATCTGCCTTATAAATATCAGAAACAAGAAACATATCTGTGGCTAGAGTCCTTTTTCTCCCTTATTGCTACAATTAACAGGAATATAGCATTAAGTAGCTTTTGTGTTTGACTATTACAGGTGGAAATTATGGAAATATGTTTTCAGAAAAGATAAAGGAAGATTCAATTCCTTCTCCACGTCCTCCTGGTAGCATTATGATACATTTTACGCCTCGTGTCTTTCCCACAGCCCTGAGAGAATCACGAATCCCAGAGGAGGAAGAGGTAGGGGGCTTACCTGCTTTGTGCCATGGAGGGCTGGCAGGCAGAGGAGTTGCGGCATGTTATTGGAAAACAGATGGTGCTTGCTTCCTCTGCTACTTTTCAACACCAAGATTGAAAAAAGATTCAATGCCCTTGGGTAGGAAAGGCACCAGCAACTTGTCTTGGGCCATGCCTCATAAAACAGTGAGGAATTGTAATGGCTTGTGAAGAGTAAGATTTTCCCAGCTGATATTCGCTTTCCTTTTCCCTGCAGATCTGGAATAAATGCTCTGCAATATTTCATGAGGCATGGCTTTAAGCCATAGCCCCAAGGAAAGGGGATGGTCTTATTAAATACTCTGGCAAAAAAGAGGTAGTATCAGGAATGCATTTTCAACCCCACTGCATTACCTGTAGAGAGCCACGGAGCCTTAGAGACACCATATTGGAACAGTTACAGAAGCATAAGTATTTTCCCAGACAAACATAGAATATATCTCCTGATTAGGCCTATGTAGAAGGACTGGCATCGCCTTAATAGCAATATTGTCTTGGAGGCAAAATGCTAGAAAATGAAAATGGCACATAACAAGCTATACTTGAAGGGAAAATGTTTAAGGAAGGCCAGTTAGAGAGAGCGATTTTATGATGTCTATGTATTCAGTGCTTTACTATGCTAATTATACATCACAAAAATAAAGGTTGTAACTGCAAATTTTGATATAAACTAGGGACAATACAGAGAAATGTTGCCATTTCTCTTTTCTGTTAACAGAGATCCCAGGAGAAGAGGCAGCCTCTGCAAGAGTAGGATGTCAACAGCAACGAGTTTTACTAGTTGGATGGAATCTTTTGAGCCTCTCTTGAGTAGAATCCTAGGCAGGAAGAGCTTGTTTTGAAGCCATACTTATCTGATAGTTTACCTAGGAGCATCTAGCTGATGTTGTGTGTGTGTCTTCTATTTGCAGTGGCTATGTAAACAAGCAGAGGCTCTCAGGATAATAAATGCAGATATTGTTGAGATCGAGGATTTAAAAGAAGAGGAAAAGAACCCAGAGTGGTTGAAAGACAAGGGAAAGTGAGTTTGGAATGGGCTTCCCAAAGGTGGTCTCCAAAACCTGCTATGGTTTAGAGCAGTGGCCCTCAATCATTTGGGCACCAGGAACCGGTTCCATGGAGAGACGTTTCTCCATTGACTGGAAGGGGCGGGGTTTCGTGTGTCACCTGCATCCTGCAGATAGGGCTTCACTGGTTTGCACAGACTGGATTCTGGCATGACATTGAATGGTGCTAGTCCACAGACCGGAGGTTGGGGACCCCTGGCTTAAGAGTTGGGGGAGAAAAGGGCTTCAATATTTTTCTTCGTTAGTATACAGCTTTCTCTCTCTCTCATTCTTTCTTAAGCAACCAGAATGGCAGCTCCCAAGTGCTCCCCTGTGCAACAGCATTTTCAAGGCAATCATAGTGTAACTGGGCTCTTCATTAATTATAATGAAATGGGGTGTGTTGTATATAGCAATAGCAATGGCACTTAGATTTATATACTGCTTCATAGTACTTTTACAGCCCTCTCTAAGCGGTTTACAAGGTCAGCATATTGCCCCCAACAATCTGGGTCCTCATTTTACCGACATCGGAAGGGTGGAAGACTGAGTAACCTTGAGCCGGTGAGACCGGAACTGCCAAACTGCTGGCAGTCTGTAATCAGATGTAGTCTGCAGTACTGCACTCTAACCACTGTGCCACCGCGGCTCATATGCATACCAAGATAAATTAGGTTATTGTTTGGTTTTAAGACTTGTTTGTTTCTTGTAAACCTTATGGAGTCAGCAGTGTATTTGTGTGTGTGTGTGCTGTCAATAAGTAGAAAAATACATTTGCTGAGTCACAAAGCCCTGTAAATATGTTCAGCTCTTACTAAATAAGTGGGTGGTTGACATAATCAGTTTATGGTTCTTTAGTAAAGATGCCAAAGTCTTAAGCCCTGTTGGAAATGCAGCAGCTATTCCTTTGTTCACATGGATTTTTTTTTTTTAGCAAAATGTTTGAAACTGGTAACTATCTGGCTGCCATCAATGCTTACAACTTGGCAATTCGTATTAATAATAAGATACCAATCTTATATTTGAACCGAGCTGCTTGCCACCTGCGGCTGAGAAATCTACATAAAGTAATAGAGGACTCCTCTCAGGTATTTGACCTTTATAGCCTTTTGTAGCATGGGACCATGCTATCTGAGGGATCCCCTCCCCCTGGTTACATCAGCCCACTGCATCAGATCCGAGATAAATTCCACTCATGAAGCTTCCACTACAGATTGCCTTTAAAGAGGATATATTTGTGCTCTTGAACTGATAGAAAGGACCTAAGTGATGCACTTACATTCAAAGACGGGGTTAGTTCACACTTCATCTGTATATTTTATTTTGCCAGGCCTTGGATTTGCTCATCCCTCCTGTTTCCAACAATGCCAAGGCAAGATTAAAAGCTCACCTGAGGCGTGGAACAGCATTCTGTGAACTTGAATTGTATACAGAAGGTAAGGAGAGGGAGTCTTTAAAAGGTAAAATGCCTCTACTTTTATTTATTTTTGTTCCATTATATTGCTGTCATTTTCTCCTTACAAAAAGGATTATGTAGGTTTAATCGCAGTGTTTCTTGAAACTAGTAGAAATGAGCTACTGTACTAAAAATATTATTTACGTAAAATATTTCAGTTTGTGGGAAATTGGGGGCGGGGGATTTATTTTCTAGGCTCAGAACATCTGTTCCTCTGTCAAACTCCAAATCCTTTCTTTTTCTAAGCTTAGTCCTGCGTGAATCTGTTGCCTGCTAAACTTCATTAAGAACTTAAGAATCAGCTGCTTTCCTGCATCAGTCTTGTATAATGTAGCCATTCCTTTCTTCATCTCTTCTCAGGCTCTTCCTGTCAGTTGTATTGTTCTAGTTTAGTCTGTCTCAGAGAAAAATGTACAAAAGTTCCATATGGTGAATGCCAAAAAAGATATTAATCACAGTAGTTATTTTTAAAAAACCATCACCACCAATATAGTTTGGCCCATTAACATTCTTCATTGTTATTTGTGAAATGTGATTTGGGAATCTAGCTTGTGACTTTGCAATTATTTATAAAATGCTAATTTTGGGTTGGTATATTTTGTATTTAGATTAAATTACTTGTATTCTACTAAACTTCACATATTCTACTCACTTGCCATATTAAGAGGCCAGGAAGCCCCAGTGCTCAGTGTCTGAGGAGTTGTGTCTGGACCCTGATCCTGTAGGCTTACCTGGGTGTATAGCTATTTTGAGGAAGGCTGTTAATGCTGTTACATATATATAGCATATCTGTAGGACATGTGGTGTGGCTTCAAAGATAAATTATGGGTGCTAACAATTATCCTAGGCCTTCAAGATTATCTGGCCGCTCTCAAGATCGAGCCTAAGGATAAAAATATAGAACAAGATGTGGAGAAGATTCGGCGCATAATTCAAGGCAACTAGAAAAATTCTTCTGGCAAGTTTAGAAGATTTTTGTGTACTGGATGTTCTTCTCTTGGGCTGGAGCATCCCTCTCTCAGGACGTTCCCGGGGCTTTCCTGGGCCCAATAAAACCGCCGCTCCTCCTGCTGCTGCTTCCTTCGCCTCTCTAGCGTTCTTCTCCCTGCGGGGGCGGGCGACGGAGGGAGGGAGGGAGGCTACACCGGCGAATGGTCGGCGCCCGTGTTGATCCCGTTGTGCTGCGGCGGCCCGGCGGCGGCCAGGCGGGCGGTGAAGGCGCTCTCCAGTGGGCAGAACCGGCAGGGCGCCGTGGCCGAGGTGGGCCGCAGGGCGCCGTAGTCGCTCGCCGTGGTCTTGTACAGCAGCGGGACTGCCGCGCTCAGGCGCGTGCCCGTCACAAGCGCCCGCGCGTTCGCCAGGCACGTGAAGACGGGGTTGCCCGGGTTGGCGCCGTCGACGCTCTGTGGCCGCTCTCCCCCGGAAGCCATCTGCCCCGGCAGCAACGGCGGCGGAGGAAGAGGCCTTTGCGGAGAGCCGCCCTCCCCGTCTCCCGGGTAACGGTTCGGCCCCGCCCTTTGTTGATGCGCGGGGCCGCCCTCGGCCGCGCTCCCCCCTGGGGCGTGTAGTCCCGCAGCGGCCAGCCTGCCGCAGCGCCGGGCGGAGGCGGACTACGCTTCCCGGCGGACGCCCCGCGGGAGGCGCAGGCGCAGCGGCGGCGTCTTTTCCGTCCCCGGTTGTTGTTGTGGCGAAGGAGGGGAGGCCGCCGGTCGCTGCGCTGCCCGCCGCTCCAGCAGGTAGGCCGGCCGCGGCCCCGCTGCGCCTCGGGCCCCGCGGCCTCCTGGCCGATCTTCCCCGCCAAGCGCCGGTTGCGCCCTCTTCGCACAGGAGGGTTTGCCCGGTAGGAAACGCGGGGCGGAGGGCCGTTGCTCCCCGTGAGCGGGGGGGGGGGGGGGCGGGGGCCGCGCCCCCCCCCAAAACCGCCCCCGGGCCGAGGGGCGGCCGGGGTGGGGCGGGGGGGGGGGGGCAAAGGGAGGAGGCCCCGCCCGCGCTCCCTCCCGCAGCGGCGGTTTCGGCTCCGAACAGGCGGCCGAAGGGGGCGAGCGAAGGTCTCGGTCGGTTCTGTTTCTGGCAGAGAAAGAAGGCCGCCCGCTGAAGAGGCTCTTTTCCTTGCAGCTTCTTCAAAATGTCAGAAATTTCCAGCGACAGCGACTCGTCTTGTGGCTGGACGGTCATCAACCACGAGGTACCGGGCAGACTTCGGGGCCGAGGCTGCCTTTCCGTGCTTGGCTCCGGGGGCAGGAGCGTCTCGGCGGAACAGGCCTCCGGAAGAGAAGGGGCGGGAGCGCTTGGGCCAGGCGGGGCAGAAAAGGTTGGCCGTGCCCTAGAGGGGCTGCGATGCGGGACAGCTTGTGCCTGTCTTGACTGTGTGCTGCTGGCTTGACCTTTTCTAACAACGTTCAAACCTTCAATGGTTTCAAGACAGCTGGAGTTTTTCCCACTTTCTCTTCCCCCCACCCCCCTTCCATGAGGTCCGTTGAGCGGGAAGCAAAGAACTTGCCAGTCAAATTCGGGGCCTTTTGCCTTTCAGCCAAACCCCTCCCCCCATCTCGAGCACAGCTGACTTGGAAGCAACCCCATCCTTAAAAGAGACAAATCATGTCCGCTCTTGGCCTTCTTCAGTTAAAGTCCACTTAAAATCCCTGATACCTTTGGGTTTTTTTGGCAGAAGCACCTCACTGGAGAAGCTCTTCTTTGGGACCTATGAGCTGCTTGCACCAAAGCTTCTGAAGGGGAGAACCCCTTGGGAGGCCCTCGATGTCTGCCACACAAAACAAGGTTTTGACTTGGTTTCAGGAACCAAAGCAAGCCAGACCTTAAGAGGAGGAGGGGTGGTGGGAAGCTAATTGCATTCCCTAGTATAAGATAAAAGGGAGGAAGAACAGGTCCTTTGAATTCTGGCACCCGATGTTTGCTCTGGTTTTCAGATAGAGCAGGAAAGCCATCCGGAGTTCATTTCCAAGATTCCCAGTGGTGAAGTTCACTTATAGCCCAGGGTCTCAAGATGCTTGAAAGTGGCATGACTGTGTTGGCTTAGAGCAGTTCCTCTCCTCATTTTCAAAAAGTGTGAGGATAACACACACATTCTGGCCCCTTGTCTAAGTCAGACATTTACTCAGAAAGACACAATAACAAGTGAAAACAGGCATTTACTGAAGAAGCCCAATGAGAGCTGCAACAGGCATTCCCTGCACTCTCTATCCTTTTCTGCAGTCTACTTCCAGGCCCTAGGAGGCTCTGCTGCTACGTCAGGCAAAGTTTGGGAGGCTTGGTGGGCGGCGTGAACATATTTCTGTCTTTTGCTTTGTTTCTCAGAGGCCTCCCATTTTCCCACATTTATTTGGGGAGCAAACAGCTCAGCTAGTAAGAATACATCCTGCTTGTGGATTGCTAGTCGTCCACCCATGCTGTTTGTGGAATATCAGGGGACTCTTTCTGGAGCTTCCAACTCAATCTCCAGTGAGCGTGTTTGTATTTTTAGGGCTCTGACGTTGAAGCAGCAGCACCAGACTCTGATAGCATAAGTGGCCACGAGGAACTGGCCTCAGAGGAATTTCTGTCTCCAACGCAAGCGGAAGACCAGCAGCAGCAGGCCACCAGTCTGCAAGGTGAGTCTTGTAGCATTCTCATTTGGGCCAAAGAGCTTCTGGGAATTGCACAGGATGATTGCTGAGACAACAGAGAGATGTCTGGCTGCATGGAAGGGGAAGAGATCTGAGGTTCGGGTGGCCAGGGATGAAATGGGAAGTTTTGTTTTGACTTAGGCATTTGAGGATAAGCTCTGTAATGATCTTCCCTCTGTGGGGCATAAACAGGCTGGTAGTTGCTAGTGGGACGTCGATGGGGAGCATTAGGAGCACCAAAGCAGGCCAGTTTTCCAGAGTTCCAGTCACTGGTTTGTGACTGGAACTATATCAGCCTTGGAGATAAAGTCTCATTTGTAGTAGAATCATTCCCAAGCTGTTGTGGTTCTCATAGCCAGATTCCTGTGTAATGGGTACAGTGGACATTCATGCCGTATAACTGATGCTGTCCAATCCAGGTTCTCCAGGTGAAAGCTGTAATAAGCCCACTTAGATTGGCCTGAGCAGTATGAGTGTGTGCAAGAGCAGAGACGTGCATGCAGAGGGGTCATGGGAAAGCTCTGTGGGCAACCTTGTATGTCTTCATCCTTTCCTTCTGCAGTTGATTTTAGCCAGGGTGATGGGGCACCAGTGAGCGCTATAAGCCAGCCCCCCATGGAGACAAGCAAGCTGGTTCCTGGGGTAAGTCATGACTCAAATGGCTCAGAAGATCACATCAAGGGGAAAAAGCCTCTTACATCTGTAGCTGTCAGCAAAAAGGTGAAACATTACAGGTGGCCTCTTTGACAGAGCTTGTGCCAACAGAGGAGGCGCAGGGATCTTTCCATCCCTGCTGTGTTATCTGTTCTGATGCCAGCAGGCTCTGACCTTGCTAGAGGAGTCCTTGTGAATGTGCCCTAAATTAAGGGGTGTTTATTTCTTCTTACTCTCTGCTGGGATTTCCCTGCAAAATGCTGGTCAACTTTTCTGGAGGCTTCCAGCTAGGAGAAAGCTGCAGTCCTAGGGCCATAGGAGATAAGGGCAGCCAGGAAGTTATCGCCTATGGAAACTGTGTTCAGGAAAGCCGTGCTGCCCTTCTTCAGAACAGGTCTTACCCAATCCTGATATGGGTGTTCTCTCATCAGCTTGCTGGGCCTCAGAAGGCCTATGCTCAAGAGTTTTCTCTCCCAACCAATAAGACTGTTGTACGTCAGTGAGCAGGCTATAGAAGACAGACCATCTGTGTGTAAATTCTGAATTAACAGCCTGATAAGGCACTTGCAAAAAGCTGTAAATTTAATTTTTCAAGTTGATAATAAAGTGCTCATTTAACATTATATCCAAGGATGAGAAAGAAAAATTGCTGGATGAGACTTCCTGTGTGGGAGCAGTAAGTGATGATTCAGACATTGTGACTCTGGAGGTGCCAAAGGTGGAAGAAGTTGGAAACCAGGAAGAAGCTGCCTCGGGAGAGGAGGAAGGTCAGGCATCAGAAAATTTCAACATGGGTTCCTCTTCCAGCAGCCAGTATACCTTTTGCCAGCCAGAAACAGGTATGTAGAGTTCTTCAGTCTCTTAAAAGAATGTCCTGAAGGCAGCAGTCCTCAAACATTTCCCCCAACTTTGAATATGTCCTTGAGTTCTTTTAACTAAGAATAGGAAACTAGTTTTCACCCAAAGTCTTTTGAGCATTCGAAATAGCTCATGTATTTGGCTCCCCATTGTTAGGACTTTTTTTAAAAAAATCTCTCCCTTCTCTCTTTTTGTATCATTATATTGTTGAGCGTAGGCTTCATAAGTCTCTCCGTTTAATCACTTGAACACCCTGAAAAATATGCCACAAATAAGAACCTCTCCTCTCCGATTAAGTAGGGCTAAGTATCCTTCCGGGTTTCTTAGTTGTGTTAATCTGGTTATGGGCTATAGAGAGGCCTTGTCCTGAAGAATCAGTCCCATGCTCCATGCCACCTTTGGCAAAGAATGCTGCTCTGTGCACACAACAACCAGAGGCAGAGGGGAGTCTTTGTTATGGGACTTGGGACTCCTCCACTCATCCATTTCATTTGAAATAAAGGTTATTGGGATTTTTTAAACCTCTATTAGGAAGCAAGATGGAGCACACCAGAGTATTTTTAAGCTTTTATTTAGAGCTGTTATGTAGAGTTAATATTTAACCTCAGATTAAGCTTGATTCTCGGAGTTTAGATTTGCTTTCTGGTCTATAACCTCTCAAATAGCTGATCTCTTCTAATCACAGTTTATCTGGAAAGTGAGTGTTTTAAGTCATCTCTGGCGTTAGAATAACTTTTCCTTCTCTTCAACCTGTTCTGGGAGGAGATGCAGACTAACTGCCAGTCATTTAGGTTAATTGAAAACAATGATGAGAGTCCTAGTCTGGCAACTCTGGGGTCCTGCAAACAAGTAGCTGCTGCTTCTTTCTTAGCCAGGCCTCAGTCAAGGGACATGAGCTGTGGCCCTATGGCTAAGTCTGGAGTTTGAACCGGGAGGGCTCGAAGGAGGCATGGTTCTTCTTCCATAGACTGTAGATCTGCTGCTCTGGGGTTGGCCCTTTGCTGCACTCTCTTGGTTGGAAGTTAAAAATATTTCCCTTCATTTTGTATATGAAAGCCGGTTGGTTGGAGCAGCTTTGGATGGTGGTCCTGCGGTGGGTGAGCAGATGGGGTAAGCAGCTGATATCCGGCCTCTCCCCTCCTTGGCTGGCATGATGGCCAGAGCTGGGCATGCTGTCATGCTTTTGAAGCAGAGAGGATGCATTTCCCTACCACTCCCCCACAAGAAAGAATTCTTGGGGGAGATGTTTGGGTGGTGGTGGTGGAAGAGAAGACCCCCAGACAGAAAGACAAGTGTAAGAGCAGTTGAGGGTCTCTGGCAAATTAAAAGACTAACATAAGCTCCAATTCAGAAATCCCAGATCAGTATAAGAAAATGCATTCATATTGCAAGACTGAGACACTTGTACCATTCCATCTAGCTGGGCTGGCTTGATCCCATCCTCTCAGTTTTAATTGAATTGGTTTTAATTGGGTTATTTTAATTATTGGGCCGAAATTATTTAATTGTTTTTAAACTGTTTTTTTAAATTTTATATGTTATGTTTTATCTCGGCTGTGCACCGCCCTGAGTCCCGCAGGAGAAGGGCGGTATAGAAATATAAATAATAATAATAATAATAATAATAATAATAATAATAATAATAATAATTCCAAAATCTTATGTTTAATCAGCTTTATGCTTTTGGTTTCTGACTTGCTGTTCACAGTGTGCTTGTTATATGTTTCCATGCATGCAATTTTGCAAGTGTGATATGCTTAATGAAATCCTTTACATAATATGAAGACTTACCTACTGTAGATGAGGTTTCTCATGCCGGCCTGCTGTTCCTTAAAGATGAAGCGCACTTTTCTTGGCTGGAAATAGAGACGCACTTCCCAGTCCCTAACAAAAGGGAGTCCTTGCTGGCCTTTTGCCCACAGGCAGAGAGAATAGAACCAGGACGCAGATTCAGGGGCTTTCAGAGAAGGGTTTCCCCATACCTGATCCCTCATGCAAGAGGGAGAAGCTTCTCTGGCCAGATTAGGCCTTGGCATAAGCGTTGGCCCCAATTGGAACATTTGGCCTTGCCATGCCCTCAGCTGGCAGTGGTCTCTGGAATTCATAGGACCCAAAGATCGGTTGATTGCTGAACTATATTTACTCTGCATTTGGCACAAGAGCAGCTTTTTGAAAATGAGCTGCATTCAAAGGAATCACAAGCTCGCCCCTTCTGTTGAAGGCCAAGGTTTTGGTTATAAAATGGCTCCAATTAGATGTGACTGACCAGTAGGGGACTTGCCAAGGGTTCAGCCCCAGAAAGCCTGCATAGAGATGCCTCTGCGACATGCTCTGGAGTGGTAGGCAGAAGAGTGGCATGGAGCCTGGGGAGGGAAGGTGGTGGTGGAAGGGCCTGGCCTGGGCAGACCCCTCTTTCAGGCCTGCTGCTGCTGCTTGGGAATCCCAGAGTGGTGGTGTTCACTGCTTGAATTTGCTGCTCAGTTTTTCCACTGCAGCCAAGTGGAGAGGAATCCAGCAGTGATGAAACCAGTCATGGCTCCAGCCCTGCCCTGAGGCGCCGGCGGGCAAAGAAGAGGCTTCTCTCCAGCTCAGAGTCTGAGGAAGGACTGCCACCTCGCGACGTCAAGCAGGCCAAGCACCTGCTGAGCAGCGGCCTGAACCGATGCATTATCCTCGCTTTGGTGATTGCGGTCAGCATGGGCTTTGGACATTTCTATGGTGAGTGCAGCGATTTTAAGGGGTAAAACGGGAGCCTGAGGCTTTGGAAATGCTAAGAAACTCTGTCAGGGGCTTCACACAGTCCAGCCTAGGCTGAAAAAGGCAAGGCTGCTACTACCTGGGGGATCTGAGGTCAGAGCCTCATATGGTGGGTTCTGTGGGGCAAAATTGGAGAGTGTAGGGCATACTCTGTCTTGAAGTTCTCCAGGAAAGGTGGGTTATAAAGGAATAAATAAAATTCAAGATCAGAACTTCTGGGAAAGAAGCGAGCAAAGGTCTAAATAGGAGAGTTCTAGGTAGTGCTTAGCACATGGAGACCAAACTCCAGATTTCCACGTCCGAGTTGTGGGCTCGAGCCAGGCACTGCCTCTTATGGGATAATCCCTTCTGGGAGGAGAACATGGAGATCCATTGGCAAAAGTAGGCAATTTCTGCAGTGACTGATCAGGTGATAAGACGACTCGCCAGAGGAATCGTGCAAAATCTAACATTTCTAACTGCTTGCCCCATCTCCAGAAACAAAATAAGGATTAGATGTGGAACTCTCTTTATAGCTAGCTGCAGTGGAGAAGTCCACTTCCAGTCCCAGCCCAGAGCTCATGGGGAAGGCCCATGCAGACTCTATGCAAAAGGAGCATTTTGTGTTGCAGAAAAATCCTTTTGTAAATCAGCCATGGACCACACTTCGGCACTCCATGCCTAGTCATATAATTAACATATAACCAGCCAGCTGAGAAACACAAATATCCTCCAGAATTTTCTTTAGATGGGAACCCAGATGATGGGTAAAATGGTTTTGTAATGAATTGGCTCAGAATGAAGCACCATAGCCATTCTTAGATCAACCAATAGGGTTCATTGGTTTTTGGTGGTCCCAGATTCTGGTTTGGAGGTAGAAAACATTATACTTACCATCAGAATAATGCTGATATCCGTCTGCTTTTGTCCTTAGGGAAATTTGAAGGTAAGAGACACGATTGAAGTGGGCTGCTGTAAACTGAGTTTAGCCATCTTTGCCAGATGTGCTTGTTTTTGTTTTTACTGTGGGCAAGATAATCTTTATCTGCCCTTTTTCCTGGGACCAAGTTGTCTGGCCTAAGGTCAGTTCTGCACCCCCTACTTTTCCTCAGTGCTGCCTCTCCTGAGTGTCTTTGGCCGTGGCTGCTGCTCCTTTGACATGAGGTCGTCTTTTCTGTTTGTTGAGGCATTGCTGCATGAGCTCCTGTAATATCAAGTGGCTGTGAGGCAGGGTTCAGTTACTACATTTTCCACTCCTCTCCAGGTTGATGCAACCACTGTTCCAAAGAGGGCTGGTGTAGGCTTGCCCCCCGTCCTCCACCCAGTTCACTCTTTTCAAAATAGGTGTTAAGCAGGTGATGCTGGCTGTAAGATAGATGCTCCCATTGCATCTGTGCACTCATGCTATACAATCTGCTGCTTTAACAGTATCAGCCTTTCATTTTTATTGAAGCTGAGCATTTCAATCTGCTCTACCAGGCAATAGCTCTTTATAAAACTAAAGAAAGAAAATAAGATGTCTCTCTAATAAGCTGCCTAACTTCCCATTTTTCTTGTCAGATAAAAAAGAAAATTTTATGTTTCAAGGTACAGTTCAGATCCAAAAACGACAGGAACTAGTGGAGAAGACTCACGAAGACAAACTGAATGGTATGAAGGGAGATCTTTTGCAATGCCAACAAGAAGGAAGTAAAACACCATGTGGGGTAAGGAGAATGTTTCCATTCCCTACAGTTCAAAAATACCTGAGCCACGGCGGCGCAGTGGTTAGAGTGCAGTACTGCAGGCTACTTCTGCTGATCACAGGCCGCCAGCAGTTTGGCAGCTCAGGTCTCACCAGCTCAAGGTTGACTCAGCCTTCCATCCTTCCGAGGTCGGTAAAATGAGGACCCAGATTGTTGGGGGCAATATGCTGCTTAGAGAGGGCTGTAAAAGCACTATGGTATAAAAGTGGTATATAAGTCTAAGTTCCTATTGCTATCTCAGCCCTGATCATTTGCCCCTCTCCCTTAACAACGTTTTGCAACTTTGTCCCTTCAAGTAGGCAAAAACAAGTTGAGGCAATGCGTCATACTTGTTATCCTTGAAGCTTTGAGCTGCAAAGCCACCAGTCGCTAAGTCTAAGGCAAAAGTGAAGCTAAGGGCTTGTCCCACATCAAAACACTAAGTGCGGAATTGAACTTCTTTGCACCTCATGCCCTTTCTCTGTAGAGGGAGGGAGGGCTTTCTGCTCTCATAATTCTGCTGCTGCTAAATTGTCCTGTTGGCTAGGAGCACAGTCTCTTTTTCTGTGCAACCTGTGTGCTTTCTTTTTCCACCCAGTCTCTGAAGGAGGGCCTTGCAAAGTGCTGGCTCACAACACAGATGGAAAAGAAATCCTTTCAATCTCAGAAACATCACCTTGCTTCAGAAAACCAGCATTTGAGAGAGTCTTTACAGAGAGAGGAAAAAGCCTTGGCACTGCTACAGGAAGAGCTGAGGAAGTTGAGGGAACAAGTAAGACACTTGGAAAGCAAAGGCCCTGGCCCAGAGTCTCTGGTTGTGACTGAAAATCAAAAACTCAAAGCGCATTTGGAGGAGGAAAAGCACAGAATGCAGAGCTTTGTGAAACAAAAGGAGACCCTGTTGGCTGAAGCTCAGATGCTGAGAAGGGAGCTCGACAAAGAGCGTCAAGTGACGGTAGCACTTCGGGAAACTTTGGAAAAGCTGAGCGCTGAGCATGTGCCGCTGGTGGCAGAGGCCGGTTCACACAAGAGCCAAGAGATAGAAACCCTTCGAGGGATGCTGACGGAACTGGAGAAGAAGCTCAGCTTTGAACAGCAGCGGTCAGATTTGTGGGAGAAGCTGTACGTTGAAGTTAAAGATCATGCAGAGAAGCAAGAGAGAGCAGGAAAAGCCCAGAAACCAGCTGGGAAAGGAGGAAACCCAAGTAAAGCCAAGCCAAAAGCAACTTTTTTTGGTTCTGTAAAAGAAACATTTGATGCAATGAAGAATTCTACCAAGGAATTTGTACGCCACCATAAAGAAAAAATCAAGCAGGCCAAAGAAGCTGTGAAAGAGAACCTGAGAAAATTCTCAGATTCTGTCAAGTCCACCTTTAGACATTTTAAGGACACAACAAAAAATATCTTTGATGGAAGAGAAAAGAAAAGGTATGGCGACAGAAGACATGAGACTAACAGAAAAGGGAGGATGATGCATCAAACGGACGGTTCTCGTGATGGTCCTGCAAAGCCGGCCCAACACCAGGCTCCAGGAAGCCAAAGGCATTTTGGCCATAGGAGACCTCGGGCAGAGGACACCCAGCCCCTCACGCCATTATCCACAGACACTGCTTCCGGACAGTGTCCCAAGGGCCCTGCAGGCAGCCCAAAGCATCACATCATCCTAAAAGGCTGTTCTGGCATTTTTGACTGTGCCCACCAAGAATTTATTAGCCTCTTCAATAAAGTCCTGGATCCTATTCGGGCTGATGAATTTAATCAATTAATGCACAAATATTTGCAGCAAGAAGTAAAGAACTTTCATCATTGGCGAGAACTGGAAATTTTCATCAGCAACTTCTTCTGCAACGGTGTCTTTATTCATGACCAGATGCTGTTCTCAGACTTTGTCAACGATGTCAAAGACTATCTCAAAGACATGGAAGAATATCAAAGAGCCAGTGACAGAGCCTTTGAAGGCCTGGACAAGTATATATACCAGTACTACTTTCATCATTACAACCAGATACCTCCGTGTGGATCCAGGTGAGTGTAAAATGCGAGGGAAGGAGGGGGCTGCACACTGTGGGGGGGGGGAGAGAGGAAGAGAGGGGATCATAGCAATGCCTTTATAAGGGAGGCTTCTCTCCGGCCAAATGTTGAAAAGGCAATCCCGGCTCATGCTAAGGGCACAAGTTACAAGGTCTACTAGTCTGTCGGCCAATTTTTTTGCCCCATCAAACACCACTATCAGGAATATTATAAGATTAGGGACTTCCACGGCATTCCTTTCAAGTGACAAGTTGAATACCTGGACCTGAGGCTTCCAAGGGTACCCTCGCTTCCCCTTTCTGCACACCATCCCAGTAAGCATCCCTCTTTCATGTTTTCCAACAGCCCTCAGCAGGAAAGACACCTTCCAAAGCACCAGCAGCGTTCTAAGAGGGAAAGCCGATGGCAAAAGCAGGGCCGCAGCAATGGGAGGCACACAGCAAACCTGGAGATTGAAGTGGGGCGGCTCCCTTTTGACCCTAAGTACTGAAGGTGTTTGGGAGCCCTGCAGGCTGGCAAAAACCCTCCATGATTGGCCCCTCTGAGAGCTTTCACCAGGGCCCAAAGATCCACTGGTTTCATCTCCATCCTTCTTCCTGCCTTGCAATCTTGGGAAGCATTAATTAATTTGGCTGCTTTCTACTATTACAATAAATCCACAGGGTAAGCAGTAGCTTTAGACAAGTTGTAAAATAAGCTTATTTGCACTTGTTGGTACTTGGTTCTACTAAAAGATATGGTACAGATTTCATCTCATGCTCCAGAAACACATCTTGATAGCTGTTTAATTACTCTGATCATGATGGGATTTGTTGCGTGTCCTCTTTCTGATCATCTTGCTTTTAAATTTTCTTGCACATCTGTACATTGTAAAAAAATAATAAAAAGGTCGTTCCAAGCTGTCTATTCATAGAGGTTTGCATAGCTGCATATAGTCTGAGCAGATCTGAAATCTTAGCAGAAGGAAAAAGCTGCCTTTGCAAAAACAAACGTGCTGGCACCTTCCACCTCTCCAGAGCCACACTTATGTATCCTACCTATCCATATACTTCAGGTCAGGGGTTGCTGTTTTGTTGTTTCTCTTGCATCAGCCCCATCCCCCCATCCCTTAAACCACTTTCATAAATCTTCAAAAAATTTTGAACACATAAATGTGGCTTCCAACTCGTCCTTGAGGCAGATGGGTATGAAAGAATGTGGCAGCTTTAACGTATCTGTTTGAAATCAGAAATGATGATATTTCCTGTAATTAAAAATACAGTTAAGAATTACATAGATTGCATCTACTTTGAAAAATGTTCATTCAATAAACAACTTGCTTGGGAAGCTGCAACAAGACTAGTAGATTGCCTCCTCTCTTCCCAAATCTTACAGAGTTATTACACACCAATGAAAAATGAAGGGCAAACACTGATTTTGAGAAGAAAATGGTATTCCCTTGATCAATCAAAGTCATACACTGCAAAGTATCTGGAATGTTGCTGATGAACCACTAAGTAAAAGAGCCAGTTCTCTTTAGCAATAAGTCCTAGTGGACAACCATTTAGATATGAGCCAGCCGTGTGTAGCAGCTGCCAAAAAAGCCAACACAGTTCTAGGCTGCATAAACAGAGGGATAGAATCACGTGAAGTGTTAATACCATTTTATAATGCCTTGATAAGGCCACACGTGGAATACTGCATTAGGTTTTGGTCGCCACGTTGTAAAAAGGATGTGTGGAGACTCTAGAAAGAGTGCAGAGAAGAGCAACAAAGATGATTAGGGGACTGTAGGCTAAAACACATGAAGAATGGTTGCAGGAACTGGGTATGTCCAGTTTAATGAAAAGAAGGACTAGGGGAGACATGATAGCAGTGTTCCAATATCTCATCAGCTTCCACAAAGAAGAGGGAGTCAATCTATTCTCCAAAGTACCTGAGGGAAGGACAAGAAGCAATGGGTGGAAACTAATCAAGGAGAGAAGCAACCTAGAACTAAGGAGAAATTTCCTGACAGAACAATTAATCAGTGTAACAATTTGCCTTAGAAGTTGTGAATGCTCCAACATTGGAAGTTTTTCAAAAGATATTGGATAACCATTTGTATGAGGTGGTGTAGGGTTTCCTGCCTAAGCAGGGGGTTGATCTAGAAGACCTCCAAGGTCCCTTCCAACTCAGTTATTCTGTTCTAATAGCAATAACACTTAGACTTATATACCCCTTCATAGTGCTTTACAACCCTCTCTAAGCGGTTTACAGAGTCAGCCTATTGCCCCAACAATTTGGGTCCTCATTTTACCGACCTCGGAAGGATGGAAGGCTGAGGCAACCTTGAGCTTGGTGACATTCGAACTGCCAAATTGCAGGCAGCCAGCAGGCAGCAGAAATAGCCTGCAGTACTGCATTCTAACAACTGCGACACTGTGTCTTGAGCTGGCAAGACTCATACCAATCTGGTTGAGGGTAAGGATATCAGTAGTCTGGCTTATCCTAAAGAGACTAACATTTACTATGTGCTACTATTAGGACATCCAATGCCACTTGTGAAAGGGAGGCACGGGGTGGTGGGCTCCTCCACTAGAATGCATCTCCTTAGGCAGACTTTACATCCTTAGGCGTGTCAGAACACACATGCCACCTTTGGTGGTGAGCCTCCCTGCTGAGGCCACAAGGAGCCCTGCTAAGAAGGTCCTGCTGATCAGGAGACTCGGGCTCACCTACCTGCTCAAGTACATTGAAGAAGACCAAATGGGAGGGTAATTGCGTAGCATTAGGAAACTCTTTGTTGAGCCACGGGAGAGGGTGAGAGTAAAATAAGTCAGCTTCATCCAGATAGTTGCTTCTTCCCATCAAATCTGGAGGGCACTCAAGAAATCTCATTTGCAGTGGGCAGTGAATATGGCTAGGAGCAAAAAAACCCACAATCATTGAATAGGGGAGATGGCTGGGCTGACATTCCTTCACCGTGCCTTTGTTTGTTTGTTTATTTGTGCTAAAAAGGCATCAAAAGGAGGGGGACAGAGATGAAAAGCTTGTGTGTTCATGTCCAAAGGGACTGTTCTCTGCAAGGCAACAGATTCACCCGCCTTGAAGTACAAATGCAAGGCAGACTACCTCCTAGAGGATGGGGTCTTTTATCACTCTCGGCCTTTGGGACATGCCGTTTCAGGGTAGGAGACAGGTTGTCCACTAGACAAGAACCTTGGCCTTACCTGTATAAAGGAGTTGAATGACAGGGCATTAGCAGGAGAATGGATGTCTGTCCTTGGGTCAAAGGGTTGCAGAGCTCCCGGAGGTAGACCATCACATCAAGAGTGCCACGCTGATGGACCAAACCAGTGTAGAGGGCAAGGAGCAGGTTGGAGCTCAGCAAGAAGGAAACGGCAGCCCTTCTCCACCTCTTCATTTGAGCCACAGAATGCCCTACAGAAATGAGCTAGTCAGAAAGTGCTAGACTGGAGATGCCTGCTGAACGGTGCTGGACCAGGGGAAGGACACCAAGGGATGTGTTCATTTCTTAGATGGCAAATAATTGCCTGAAAGAATAAGGGCCATACACAATGCAAACGCCTGAAGTTATTGTCACTTCAGAATGTGAATTACAGGTAGTCCTCAACTTACGACCACAATTGAGCCCAAAATTTATGTTGCTAAGTGAGAAATGTGTTGAGTTTTGCCCCATTTTACAACTTTTATTGCCACATTTGTTAAGTGAATCGCTGCAGTTGTTAAATTAGTAACACGGTTGTTAAGTGAATCTGGTTTCCCCATTGACTTGGCTTGTCAGAAGATTGAAAAAGGTATTCATCTGACCCTTGGACACTGCAACCGCCATAAATGTGAGTCAGTTGTCAAGCAGCCAAATGTAAATCACATGACCATAGGGATGCTGCAACAGTCATAAGTGTGAAAAACGGTCATGTCACTTTTTCCAATACCCGTTGTAACTTTGAACAGTCACTAAGCGAACTGTTGTAAGTCAAGGACCACCTGTTAAAGGACCAAAATATCAAGAAAATAAATAAAAGAATCTTTGTATGGTAGAAAACTGAAGTAAGGGGAAGCAGCTTTGGTTGTTGAACAGATGGCCATGGCTGCCATGATATATGGGATGGGCATGTGCCATTTTTACAGAAGAACTTACCAGGACTGGCATTGTACAATAGCTGGCCACTCTCTGGAAAAGGAGAGTGGGACCCTACAAAAGATGATATCCATCAAGCCAAAGTGCTTACCACAGAAGAGCATACAGATGGGCAGGATGGAGTAGATAAATCGGAATTCTTTGTGACGAAGAACACTGGAAGAAATGGACAGGGCAAGGCCATCATGGACATGCCCCCCCCCCAACTTCTACCTAAATAATTAAGTCCAAGGCTTCTCTCTTCCTCAGAAAACCTGGGAGGCTCCATTCTGTCCAGAACATGACGAGCCCATGTACCAGGGGGCTCCCCTTTGCTTGGCTGATTAAAGGCAAGCTGACTAAGCCACCTCTAGCTGGGCAGGGCAGGGAAGTAAGAGCCTTAATCCCGAGCAGTAACAAGAACAAGGGCATGAAGCAAGCCTTAATCTCAAAACAGGAACATGGGGTACCTGTAGGCTGTCATGGTCCAAAGCACAACCACCAAGAACACATGATGCTTCCTCGGGGCACTGAAACAGCCATGAAGGAAGAAAGGCAGGTGGGGACCAAGGATCACCGGCAAGCCCTGGGTGAAATACCAGTGCCAGGAGTGGGATCCATAGAAGGTGGCCAGCTCATGCAGAACATTGAATTTCAGAAAGTTGAGGGGAACCATAACCCACTGCAGGGATGAGAAAAGGAATAGTCAGGTCTCCCCATGACGGGATGTTTTTTCAATTTTCCCCTGCACTCCTTGGGGAACATTCAAGAGCTACATCAGCCCCATTCTCCCTTTTCCAGAGCAAAAAAAGTAAGCAGGGTCAGGTCTGATTACAGTTTGCATGGGAGATGGACAGCCTGGCAGTGCTCTAAGTTGAGCTGGGAAGTTGGACAAAGGCAAAGAAATGCTAGCAATCGAGCTCAACATAAGGGCACGTTGCACAGTCTCAAGCCCAGGCTGGGGGAGGATTTGCTTTGCTTGGCAAGGACTGGTGTCGCCCTAATGCAACCCATTATCCTACACCTACACCACCACCATCTGCACAGTTACACCACTGGAAAAAGGAGCTAAGAATCACGTGAAGGGGAGGGCCTACAACCTTCACCCTGCATTGATCTGATCCTCAAAAGATGATCTGGGCTCACAGACTTTCTCCAGTGCCTTGCCCGTTGGAAAATGGGGGCAGATACAAGCGGGGAGAGATGGGACAAGCATAGGAAGGTAAGGCAAGGCTGGTGGCCCAGTGCCCATCTCAGTTGTCTTATAGGCTGTAGGAAGAGCAGACCCCAGAGAAAGACAGTGAGGGGCCAGCAGCCTTCCCTGACATTTGGGTTCAAGGCTAAACAATCCTTGGAGGATTTGATGATATCAGCTTACCTTGCCAAAAAAGATCCTGTCAATTACTAATGAACCTCCCAAAGCAATTAGTCTGTTAAAAAAGAAAAGCAACAGTTCCACGGCAAAATGACAGGTTCTCTCCTGCCAGGGTCTTCCCCCTCATGAGGCCCTGGATGGCCCATGCATTGTTTCCCGCACCCGTCCGCAACCAACTCCAGTTTGCTCTGCTCTTTCCCATCCATGCCATGCCAAGCACAGCATTTCCTGGAATCCAATAATGCTTCCTTTTATTTCTGTGTTGTTGAGCACTGTTTAAAAGGCGAGTTGTTCACTGCAGTGATTTTGACAAAACCCCAAGACCTACTTACCCCACTGGAAGGCAAGCACCCCAGAGGAAGCGCCTCTTGTTGGACTCTTTTCCAAAATGCCAAAGTAGCAGCGGAGCCCACGGAATGGCAGCTGTCGGGCGGACGATGCACGCCAGCGCAACCAGGGCTAGGTAGCAGCGGCTGGAAAAGCAGCAGATGGGAAACTTCAGAACAGCTACAGGAAAGCCACAAGATGGGCTCCCAACCATAATACAGTCCTAGCGTTTATTCAAATGTAAAGGTACATGGAGCTGTAGCATTCATGCATTTTACAAAAGAGAGGAGGGAAACAGAGAAAGGTCTAGGGTCCTTGAGCTCAAGGCTTAAAAATACTTAGGGAAAAGCAGTTCTGAAGAAAACATGTTGGGAAACCAGCCAAGCACAAGAAAACTTTGCCTGAGAATAATTTGCCTGACACACATGCCCCCATCCCATGATACAAAGTTTTTCACCTGCTCTCTGTTTTGGTGCCTTCCATGGGATAGTAGCAAAGAGCAAAGATGGTGAGAACTGCTTCCATGGTGTTGGTGAGTGTCCTAGTACAGCAGTACCACGTGAACCAAGAACACAACTGGCAAAAATACTGGGAACAAAGCCGAAGAAGAGTAGGTGTGTGATGGAGGGGCCCAGCCACAGCAAAGTCTGCCAGGTCTCACACCACTGGGTGGCTGGCAGACTGAAGGGAGAGGCTGAGACTCACCACCCATTTGGCCGTCTCAAAGTTATCCAGTCGCTTTGCCAAGGAATATAACTTCACATCTGCAAATGCTGCCAAAACTGCCTGGAAAACCCTAGGGAGCCAAATCTGTTAGAAGATGAGACACAATAAGAGCATGGAAATAATTTTTGCTTCTTTCCAAACAGAAATCTGATCTTTCACTAAAATGCAAATATTCATTGAAACAGAGAGTCTCCAAAACCACACTGGCAATTTCTAATGCTTCCCTCAGACAGCTTTTGAAATGGTGGGCAGCTTCCCTTGGCAACACATGACCAGTCAAGCCCGGGGAAGGGGGGGTTGACCTAATTTGGCGCTCTGAAGGGGGTATCGTGATGGGGAAGCAAACTCCCAAAGAGCAAGAACTTGGCAACTTGACTTTGGACAGTGCCTGAGGAATGGGCTTTGAAGGTAGAAATGGCGGAAGGGGGGGGGGGGCGTATTCCCTTTTGTCCGTGGAGACTCGGTCACCCAGGTCAGGGTTGTTTCAGGGGTGCTTTTTCAAAAGGCAACTGGCACTCTTCCTCCTCCGGGGAAAAACGGGCTTTCCCCCTTTTGGCCCTGAAAAAGCCATTTCCGTTTGCCCAGGGCAGGCCCTCACCAGCAGCGGCGCCTCGTCCTTGCCCAGCAGTTGCAGCGCCTTGAAGAGGCCGGCGAAGAGCAGCGGGTAGAGGGGGCTGCGCAGGCCCTCGGCCCACTCCCAGGTCAGGCTCCCGTATCTGTTAAGCGCCGTTAAGGACTCGGCTGGAGGGACGGGCAGAGGGGCCCTCCCGCCGCCCGCCCAATCCAGGATACCCGAAGGCCGCCCGGTGCGCCACCTCCAGCGACTGCCAGTACTCGTCCGGGACGAAGCTGGTCCGCACCGAGAAGCAGCAGGCCAGCCGCAGCGCCAGGCTTAGAGCCAGGAGCCCCCGGGCAGGCGCGGCACCGGCCGACCGCCGCTCCGGCCCTTCCGGCCGCCGCACGGGCTTTCGCCTGCGAGGCCTCCCGGCAGGCGCCCCCACCACCGCTTCCATAGCGACCGCCATCGAAGGGAGGGCGCAGGCGCGGAAGGCGAGCCTGCGCCGGTTCCCCGCGCGTGCGCCGCACTGGAGGGCGGCGGCGGCAGCGGCAGCCATGCGCGGCTCGGAGTCGCTGGTGCGCCTGGTGGTGGTGGTCGTGCTGGGCGTGGGCGGTGGCATCTATGGCGCCGATCCGATCCGGAGGGAGGCCGCCCGCCTGCGCGCCCTCTCCGACTGCGAGCCGCCGCCGCCCGGGAAGGCCCCCCCGCCGCCCGCCTAAGGGCGCGCCACGCCGAAGCTGCCGGAGGAGAAGCGAGGCCCCCGGGACTGGCAGTCCGGCGCTGCTCCGCCTCCTTCCTGCCGCGATCTCAGGCCGCGAGCCGAAGCGGAGCGCGCATCGCTCTCAAGTGCCGGGACGCTCCTTAAACCGAGGAGGCCCTTGTGACCTAAGCCGAGCGCCTTTCCTCCTCGTGGACGCGGAATAAATTGCTGGGAAACGGACACGTTGGTCTTCCTTTCTTTCCGGCGGCTCTGCCACTTTCGCTTTGGGGGGAAACCCCGTTTTCCTTGCTTATTATGAGTGACTGATGACGGGAGCAGAATTTCTAGAATTTTAGGTTCAAAGGCAGTCGGGTGTCATTTATTTATTTGTTATCCCGCATTTATTACCCTGTTTCCCCCAAAATAAGACATCCCCTGATAATAAGCCCAGTCGGGCTTTTGAGCTCATGGCTCAAAAAAATATAAGACAGGGTCTTATTTTCGGGGAAACACGGTACCTGATAAGAAAATTATTCTTTTAAATCACACGAAACCGCCTGTGGGTAACCTGCTACTAATAGCCCTAAAGATGCAGCCCAGAGGGAAGATGTATGTAACACCCGCCCAGCCACACCTGGAGGCAACCAGAGTGGAGATGCTCTTGTGCAAACAAGTGAGCTTTGCACAGGGGTCCAAACTGGTCCTGAAGAAGCTGGGGTATCGGGCCTTTGCAGGAGGGCAGCTGGGTCCTGGGCTGATGCCTCTCTTTCTCTCTTCTCTTTGCAGTCCTGGATCTGGAATGGGCTGAAGTAGGGAACAACCAGTTGGGGCAAAGCACAAAAAAGGGCCCAAGTTTGGTTGTCAGCCAGCCCTCTAACAGACTCCTACCAAACCCCTAGTCAGCAGCTGCAGGCCCCTGCAAAATATTCCCCTCTGAATGGAGCCAAAGGGGCTTCTGCTTCTGGAGAGACCATTGTTCCAGCTGTGATGAGACATAGGGATATTGCAGCTTCCTCCTCCCTTCCAGGCTGGACTCTGCTGGCCTTCAAGGCCAACTCGGGGCTGGTTGAGGCAAAAATTAGCCTTTTCTTAGCCCTCGTGGAGGTTTGGGGCTCTGCAACTCCACCACACCTGATCCTACCACCAGTATAAAGAAGAGCTAGGCATGGCAAGGAAGACCCCCACCCTCTGCTGGAGAGCCCAACAGATGTTGCTGCAAGGGGCTCCAACCAGGGACTGCGCCTTGCCCCAGTTTTTCTTGATTAGCCAGCCACATGACTGTCATCTGAGGATCACTGGAGGATAAGAGCCAGCCCAGCCAGCTGGTTGGGCTTGGAGCCTCTCTCCTGGCTGGCCTGTTGCCAGACCCCTTGAGCATCCAGTCTTTGTTTCTAGAGCCTCTGGCCACTTCAACTCCCACTCCCAGACCTGCCAGAACCTCTTTCCAAGCAGGTATCTGCCACTAATGTTCTCAGACACTGTGGCAGCTCTTTAGCTCAGGATGGACTTCCTGAATAATCTTATTTATTATTTATTTATTTATTGGTTCGATTTATATGCTGTCCTTTTCCGGAGACTCAGGGCGGCTTACAATGCGTTAAGCATTGGTTTCCTGCTGCTCCAGAACAAATGCAATGGTTATAGGTCAGCACCTTTTGGATGCCAGGGACCAGTTCTGTGGAGAGATTTTTTCACGGACTGGAGCGGGCATGGTTTCATGTGCTGCCTATATCCTGCAGATGGGGCTTCACTTGTTTGCGCAGCCTGTTATAGGTTGACAAGCTGCAGGTTGACTTTCAGCCAGTCTCCAACTCTTTACCCACTCTGAGAAGGGATGCAGAGGTAAATGTGGCAAGGCTGGCATAGCAGAGGAAGGCACTGGCAGCTTGTATGGCAGAAGCAGGGGAATAGTCTTCCATGCTTCAGCAGCTTTTAAAGCATCTTCACTTTAAAGTGGTTTGGCTGCAGTTGCCCTGACTCAGCAATACACAACTCTAAGAGAAAATTGTTTATGTGTCCAAAGTGGAGGCTTGGCTGCTGCTTGGCTGTCCTGAGGCCACTGGTGAATCTCTGATATCCATCTAGGCTGATTCATAAGAACAGGGACCCTGGCCCATCCTGCCCAGTCTGTTTCCATAGTGTCCGTCAATTGCCCAAGAAAGCCCACCATTCTCCCACCAGATGCTCCACAGAAGCAGCCTCGCTAAGAGCCATTGATTCCCCAGATTTCCTCAAATTGGTCCCACTAATTTTTGACACCAGCACGGCATCTTGTAGCAGATTTCAAATTTCATTCTGCAGACAGCATGCAAACAGGATGGCAAATGAGTTGAACTCCACTGAAATAAGCCATCTGGGCAGACGACAGGACCCCCATCCACAAAAGATTTCCTTAGAATATTAGCCATGCTCATATGAATGCAGTCATATTTTAAAGCGCTTTCTGCTGAATTTAAGCACTCTCAGTTAATAGGCCCTTGGGACCTATCTTTTCCATTGTTTCTGCTTGTTTATGTCCTCAATCAAAGGGAGCAGACCCCCTCCCTGCTTTGCAAACTAACGGGGTGGGGTGGTGTCTCACTGCCAGGCAGAAATTGCAGGCAGGTTTCTTCTGGTGCCCTCAGCTTGGGTCCAGACATGAGCCTTTGAGTCTCGGGATTCTTTTGAAAAGGATGTGAACTCTGCACTTCGAGAGGCTTTTGCATATGTTCTGCTCTGATGAGGTATGAAAGAAAACACCTCAGATGTGCAATCAAATTGATTTAGCAGGAGAAATGGCTGTTTGTTTTAGCAACAGACTGATAAGCCCTTGATGACGCCATTTCCTACCGAAGCCAGCCATACCAGGATGCTTTTCCTTTCATTTTTTGCAGCTCCAGATCCCTCCTGCACTGTAGTGTGATGGCGCGAGAGCCTCTGGGATCAGTGCATTTTACCTTTGTAGTTGTCAGGCTACAGAAGCCCTTTAGCTGAAGACAGAGCTTGCAAGGTCTGCCAGTGTTCCCCCTCCCCTCTTGGTCTTCAGCCAAACGGCCTTCCCAGCTCTCTTGTCCGGTTCTCCTCCTCCTCCACAGAGGAAATCCTGCAGGGCTGGTTTATTGTACCTCTGGGGAAATGGGAGAGGCATACTGGGCTGGCTTTGTGGCCTGCGGGAAGGCAGCTGCAGAAGATCTGCGACTGAGGGAGGGCCACCATTATACAGAGGCTGTGTGTGGCAAAAGATGAGAGGCAGAACGGATCTAGTATTTTAGTATTCTGTCTTGATGAAATTTGAGCTGCTGAAGCCTTCAGAGTAAATACCCACATTTGCACATGCGCGCACACACTCCTCCAGCATATGGGAGTGGTCTTGCTAAAAGGTAAGTGGGGAGTACCCTGCTAAACTGTGAAGCCATCTCCTCCCACAACAGCAGGGGTATCTGTTCACATTCCTCAGGACACCCCTCCTTGGCACCTTTGGGTTTATGCAGAAGACACCCTTCTCTTGCATCTGCCCCCCTTCCGTGCCACGCCCAAATCTGGATCCTTCGGTCAGAGAGTTCCAATCCCTTCCTAGACTAGCTCTTCTTCTGCCAAGCCTACCTGTTTGCTAGGCCTTGGTGGAGGCAGCTCCCTCTGCAGGGACTGGGATGCCTGGGCACAAGGCTGCCTTGTGAATTGTCCAGCTGAACCCACTCGCTTGGCAAAAGGAAGCCCATAAGGCATTGAAGGCAGCCTCAACTCCTGCAAACGAGGACAGGTGATGGCACAGCCCCTTTCCTGGCCCTGGTGCCCTTGGCTGGCCTCAGGAAGCACACCTTCCACCCATCACAGTCTCCAGGTGACACGTAAGCTGCTGCGGCTGCTGTTCCTGGCTGGGTGAGAAGCAGGTGGGGCTCGGGAGGCCAACCCAAGGCACCTCTGGCTCTGGTGACGGCAGCAGCAGCAGAACGGTGAGCAGCCAGCCTCTTTGTTGCAGGGTGTAGAGGGACAGGAGGGCAAGGCCCACTTAAGGGGAAGACTCCCTTCAGCCTGGCTGCTTGTTGCAAAGTAGCAGCTCAGGTGTGGGGGTGATTTGTGTGGCAAAAGCAGCGTCCTGGGCCTGGGATTGCTCCAGGGAAGTGGAATGACCAGGGAAGACTGAGGCAGGTGCTAAGCACCGGAAGCAGGCAATGCCCATTGGCTTCCATGTAGCCTCTTTCCCCCTTTTCCAGCATTCTGTATGGAGGCTCCTTTTGTGGAACTGGACAGGCTGTGGGCAAGGTGATGCAGCCGAAACCATCAGGGAATGTAGGAGGATATTGCAAAAAGGAGGTGGGGAGGCAGAGATCAGCCCAGGCAAATATGGTCCACAGGCCACTGCAGCACTGCTCGCCTGTTGGTTTTTGTGACGCCGCATGGACCGGGAGAAGACAAGCTGAGAGCAGCTGTGCCAGGCTGTCCTGGACATAAAGAAAGCTTGATGTTCCTAAGAAAACCCACATCTGTCTGCTCACAGAGATCTGGGGGAGGTTGTTTGCAATGGCTTGTGGGGTAGCCATGCAGGGTACAAATTCAAAGATTAGCCTTCTGGCACTGCCCTCCAATTCGCATAGTAGAAGACTGATCCCTCCCTCCCTCCCACCACATGTCAAGCTAGGGGTCTGATGCTGCATGGCAGTGCAGGGTATCTGAGGTTGTCTAGGCTAGGGATCCCCTGCAAGGGCTATTGGAGGGGGAGGGATTTCCTGCAATCTAGACTCCTGAAGGGGGAGTCTCCATCATGAGTGGTGCGCTACTAACACTGTTGCCCCATCTGTATCCTGGATGTGCAGGCAGCCTCTTTGCCAGGCATTCTGGGAAAGATCCCCTTGGCATTAGCCAAAAAGCTCCCAGACTTCCTCCTGGCAACTCAGTGGCAATCCAAAATCCAAATAGACAAAGGGAGGAGGCTGCAGATTCAATATTTGCAGAGGGAGGAAGTGCCTCACCTCTTGGCCAATTTCATAAGTTCAGCATGATGAGAAGCCCAGCTCTCTTCCTTGGGAGCACCTGTCTTCCTCTGCTTCGCTATTTCACTTTCACTTCCCAATTGTCAAACGCCCAAGACTGATCTGAAACCAAGCTTGCACTCTGAATTATTAGACCACCTGTGTGGAAGGGATAAAACAATTTTTTTCTCAGTAATGAAAACATACAAGCAGATTGGTAGGTAAAATCTAACTGCAGGCAGCCATGGGGCTCCAGGAGGCAGCAGGCCAAGGGAAAATGTCCCTTAGGTATCCTGACCAAATCCAAATGATTTGTCACTGTTCTTGTCATGGAGAAGGAAGAAAGATTGTTAGAGTGTGTTCATGCTTAGGGACAAATGTGGAAGCGTTTATAGACTCTTATAGGCAGCCTGAAGGCAACTGACGGGCATCTGGGGCTAACCTCCGAGGAGGCAGCAGTGGGAGTCTGCTGAAAGTACATGACTCCCTTTTTCCACTGAGAGGAACTCCGAAGGCGAGCATCTCTCTAGTATTATCTGATTACCAGGGAGGGCTGGATACCACCTGCAGCAGAATCTCCTGGAATGAGTGCTGGGTCCCAGAGAAACTTTGACCTTCCACTTCCATTTAGGCGGCTTCTCAGCCCTTTCTGTTGCCATCACCTCCATGCAGTTCCATACCACATCATCCATAGCCCAAATGGCAAAGTTCCAAAGAGGCTTTTGATCTTTTGATACCTATAGTGCACCAGTCACCTGCCAACATAGTTGTGCTACCTGTGGACAAGATGTGGAGCAGCGTTCCGGTACCGTGTCCTTTTGAGCCTCTTATTGGGCCCCACACACTTGGTAGGCTCCTCTGAGACCCTGGATTCAAAACTTTTCTTCCTTTCTTCCCATCCTCCCCTTCAGGCTGTTACTGAAGATCACTCGCTATGTCTGACAGGGACTACGATTACCTTATCAAGTTCCTAGCCCTTGGTGATTCTGGGGTTGGAAAGACCAGTTTCCTTTACCAGTACACAGATGGGAAATTCAATTCCAAATTCATCACAACTGTAGGCATTGATTTTCGGGAAAAAAGGCTGGTAAGTCCCGGCATGGTCTGCTTTCTTCCTTCCAACGACATTCCTCCTTTTTGGAAGAAACTGAACTGTAGATGAGCTGTGCAGAAACTCATTCAGGAAATCACACCTGATGTTGGGGCAGGTGAAGGAAGAAGGGGAGAGGCAAAGATGCTTTTCCTTCAAGATTCCCTTCCCCACCCCCTGCGCCTTCTGTCCTCTTGGTCCATCTTCAGCACCTTTGACCTGAACTCCTGCTACTTTCTCAGCCACCAGCTTGGCTTTCACAGCCACCGACCGTTACAGCATGGGCACAAAACAGTGACAAAAAGCACCACTTAGGACCAGATCTGGCTGCAAGGGAAGGATACAGAGAAATTGCTGATTCTCACACCTTGTTCTCACATACTGGCTGTCATTACACAAGCCTCCGAGCACCGAAAGGGCCAGCATCCATCCCTTCTCAACTGCCTTCCAGCCACCCACCCTTCCAAGAGTGGAAACTGGGGGGGTGGGGGGGCATGCCATCCAATCTTGTGGCAACCAGCAGAAGACAGCTGGTAGCCAAATGCTGCCTCTTTCTGCTTGTCCAAGCAGGGCGTCATCTGCAAAATCCCTGCACCTGGTTCTTTGCTCTCCTGCGCAAAGTTCTGGGTTGCCATTTTGAACTGCTGTGGCAGGCTGACTATGCCTCTAGTGACAATTTTGCCTAGTAACAATATGCTCCTGCTTGTCCATATCTGGCCTTCTTCAGGCTGATGAACTTGAGACTTTTGTCAGTGGTTGATAGAAACTTTCTTTCCTCCCGTAAGATTTCTGTAAAGCAGCCTTACTTTCAAATCAGCCCAAGGAGAGCAAAGCTTTCCAGAGTGCTGGTTCAATCCACTGGCACCTACCACCCCTTTCCAGTGTAGAACACAATCCTGCCTCTAACACTGCGAATCCTGGGAACCTTCCCTGGCATTTTCCCAAACAGAGAAACGGCTGTCTTCCACTCCAAGCTCTCAGCCATGCTCTGGAGGGAATTAATTTTCCCTGTGTGAGGCTGCCTGCAATCGATCCTCCTCCAGGCTTAGAACCTGGCTTCTTGTGCATCCAGTGTTTTTGTGCCCAACAAAAGACACAATGCCACCAGGTTTGCAGCGCTTCAATATGGTTACTGCAGGCAAGTTTGAAATTTGCTGCTTCCTCCCTGTGGATATGGGACTGCTGTGTCCAGGGATGTTCCTGTACATTAAAAGCAAAAAAAAATTAATCCTGGTTCACCCTGAAGGGAATTTTGCAGATTCACCGTTGCCCAAGTTCAAACATGTCAGAGGCAGGGCCTATGCATGGATGCAAGGAACATAGGCGTTACTGCTGGGAGGAGGGCGAATGGCAAACATCAGCTGAAGCTAAATGCAAATTGTAGATGCACTATATCCGTGATGGCAAACCTATGGCATGCCCTCTCTGTGGCACATGCACCGTCACCAGCTGCTCTTCTGGTTTCTGGCATTCTGGCCAGCTGGTCTTTGCGGGCCCTGGAGTGCCAGAAAACAGCCTGCAAATGGCCAAAAACCAGGCCATTTTTCCGGGCCGTTTTCTGGCTGTTTTCCAGGCCAAAAACGCCCCGAAAACGCCCAAAAAATGCCTAAAAACAGCCAGAAAATAGGCATGCATGTGCCAGCCAGCTGGTCTTCAGGTTTCCAGTGCTCTGGTTTGGGCACTCAGTGCCGAAAAGGTTTGCCATCACTGCACTATATAGACATGCGCTAAACACCAGCATAATAGGAAAAGGGGAAACCAACCTGAAAGCATCCCCCCTTTTTTTACAGGGGCAGCATAATGGGTTGGAAGGCAGAAACACTGAGATTCTGGAAAACTACGGGAGGGCATAGGCAGCAAACATGGGACTGCAGGAAACTATTGCAGGCTCATGTGGGAAGGAGGCCATGGATTTAGCACCATTGATTTACCTATACAAACATTAGTGAAACACCATCTGCTTACTTTTCTAGAAGCTCCACGAATGAAGAAAGTGAAGGATCTATTGGTTTCCTCAAAGCATTGGGGGAGGGGGGAGGAAGAAAGATTCCTGGTTTGCCAGCTGATGGCTGGAGACATTAACAAATCCTTTTGGAATCAGGTGTACCGACCCAACAGACCAGATGGGGTCAGCGGCCGAGGACAGAGAATACATCTTCAGTTGTGGGACACAGCAGGGCAGGAAAGGTGAGCATGTTTGAAAAATGGACTGAACCACCCACTTCCCCTACCCGGCCAATTTGGCTCCTGATGGAACCAGTCGCCTTAATGTCTCAGTGCAACCAGAGGTTGGCAATCCCTCAGTATCACCTGACCTATGCACTGGGTGTTTTCTATGGCTGAAGAACATTGACAGACTCTAAGGAGCCCGTGTTCTTCATAATGACTTTAGAAATGGCCCTTAGTCATTAAGAAGTTTATTCTATCCCTTTTAAAACTTCAGAACAATATTTTGCTCTTAACTAGAAAGTCTAAGGAAGACTCTGGGCTCCGGGGACAAACATGGATGTGTCGTCTTGGTATAAAACACTGTCAGCCTGAGAGGAGAGAGCAGTAAGGTAACTCTTAGCCCTTCCTCTTGGTAGGTTTCGTAGCTTGACAACCGCCTTCTTCAGAGATGCCATGGGCTTTCTCCTGCTCTTTGATCTAACCAGCGAGCAAAGTTTCCTCAATGTCCGGAACTGGATGAGTAAGTCTCACCCCACTTGCAGCGACTGGGGCAGGCCTGGGCTAGGCCTGGGCTAAAGGGAAACTGTCGGCAGGAGCCAGACTGCTGCGGAATGTCAGTTGGAGCCCTGTGGCTTCGGCCCCAGGGAGCTTCCAGTCAGCCGGCTGGGCCTCTCCCAAGGGGCCGGTGGGTGCAGCCAAGCCAGGGGCTCCAGCTCCCTTCCCGTTTCTGGCAGGCCAGCTGCAGACCCACGCCTACTGCGAGAGCCCCGACGTGGTGCTGTGTGGAAACAAGAGCGACCTGGAGGCCCAGCGCGTGGTGAAGGAAGACGAGGCCAAGCGGCTGGCAGGCAAATACGGGCAAGTGGCTTCCTCCCCGGGCGGGGCGGCGGAGGGAGGGGCGGCTCGTTCCCCTGCGGGCCCCGCGGGCGGACGAAGCGCCGCTCCCGAGCGGAGGGCCGGGGTGCCCGCGGCTGCCTCCGCCCGGCCTGACGCTGCCCGCTGTGCTTGCAGGGCTCCCTACTTCGAGACCAGCGCCGCCAACGGCGCCAACGTGGGCCCGGCCGTGGAGTCGCTGCTGGGGCTGCTCATGAAGCGCATGGAGCGATGCGTGGACGGGCCCCACGCCTGCATCCCCAACGGCCCCGCCGAGACGCCCCCGCAGCCCGCTGGTGGCTGCGGCTGCTGAAGGCTCCACCGCGGCCCACCCGCGTCCGGCAGACGCGCAATAAACCAGTCCGTGGCCAGATTCCGCGTTTTCTTGGGCCGCCGTTTCGCCGCCGCCGCCGCTTGATGGGGGGGAGGGGGGACGGGCTTCTCCTTGAGGACTAGCACCTCGGGACCACGAACCCGAACGCGTGACGGCACGAGAAGGGCGGGTGAAAGGCGCTCCCGGTGTGGCTCCTCCCACTAGGGGCCTCGCTCGGCGGATGGAACGGAAGCGGAGGGGGCGGAGTTTCCGTCTGCTGCGGCGGGAGGGGGGGTTTCCGGTGCCTAGCGCACGCGCAATGGGGCTGCCGCGGCCTCCGGCCGGCAAGGGGCGCAGTGAGTCGAAGCGCCGCTCTGTCCAGGCCTCCGAGGCGCTCTTCCGCCTTCGCCTTCGCCTCCGCCATGCGCGTGGAGAAGTGCTACTTCTGCTCCGGGCCGGTGTACCCGGGCCACGGGATGCTCTTCGTCCGCAACGACTGCAAGGTGAGTCGAGGCCCCGCTCCCTCCCTCCCTCCCTCCCTCCCCCCCGTCCGTCCGTTCGTCCGTCCCCCCTGAGCTCGGCTGTTTCCTCGCAGGCGTTCCGGTTCTGCCGGTCCAAGTGCCACCGGAGCTTCCAGAAGAAGCGCAACCCGCGGAAAGTGCGCTGGACCAAGGCCTTCCGCCGGGCGGCGGGCAAGGAGCTGGCGGTGGTGAGTGGGCGGCGGCGGGCGAGGGCGGCCCGGACCTAGCGCGAGCGAGCCGCCTCTCACCCTGCCCGCCTCTTCTCTCATCTCCCCGCGCAGGACCGGTCCTTCGAGTTCGAGAAGCGGCGCCATGAGCCCGTGAAGTACCAGCGGGAGCTGTGGAGCCAGAGCGGTAGGGCGGAGGGGGAGGCGGGGGTCCGCCAGACGCCCTTCTTCCTGGGCGGCTTCCCTGTTGACGCGCGGCTGTTTTTCCCTTGCAGTGGAAGCGATGAAGAGAGTGGAAGAGATCAAGCGGAGGCGCCAGGCCAAATTCATCTGGAACAGGTACGAGCTTTCCCTGCCCGCCGGGTGAACCTTGTGGGGATAAGCCGGGCGGTTTGAATGTTTCCTGTACAAAAATCTCATTTTGGGGAATCTGCCGTTTTGGGACCGACTGGGATTCGGCTTTACTGGCATATAGAAATGTAATCAAAAAAATGCATGAAAATTCTGTCACTGACCTTGTAAAGATTCTTAAATCGCTTAAAGTGCCAAATATTGAAAGGAGCTTTACTGGGTTTTATCAAACTTCCCATCAGTATAGCTGTGGGTTACGTGGGTTCTTAAAATAAAATTCTTCTGCCGTGACACTTGTTAGCTTTTCCTTTTCTCTTGCCTTCAAGATTAAAGAAGGGGAAAGAGTTACAGAAAGCACAGGACATCAAAGAAGTCAAACAGAACATACACCTCATCCAGGCCCCCCACGCAGGTGAGCAATGGAACCCAGGATGGCCGGAGAGTGGAGATTCTTGGAGAGGCTTGTTTGGCTAATCCCCCAAAACTGTGTCCTGGCCTAATGGCCTGATGCTTTCGGGGATTTGGCTGTGATCTCTTCGCTGACTGGTTCAGAAGCTGCATCTGAACTCAGCATTCTGCGAGGATTCCACTATATTGTTTTCAGAGACACCTAAACCATTTGCTTACCTGTGATTTCTTTCAGGCAAAGCCAAGCTGATGGAGGAAAAGATGGTCCAGGTGCTACAGGACACAGTGCCCATGGAAGATTCTTGAAGAGTTATGCTCTTTGGGTTCTGGCCTATTTAATTTGGGGGGAGGGGCTGGGGCTAGTGTTTATATTTCATGAGCTGCAGCTTCAAGGGGAATATCTGTAAACCAAGTAGAGAAATTAGAAATAAAATAGGGGCCAAAAATGATGATTTGGTTCAAATATTTTTCAACTAAGGCCAATTAGATTATTACAGCTGCTGTCTGCATAGGAATTAGTTAGCCTAGTGGACAGTTATTACTTCAAGAAGCAGGAAATGGAGTGCTGCGACATGGCTGGACCATCTTGGGCATCTGGACTGTTACTCAGCTTTTAAGAAAGATGGATTTTTGTTGAAGCTACGCATGGGAGTGCAGAGGCTCAAATGCCATGGTTACTTTATGCTCCCAGCTGCACCGTTGAATATTGCATTCTGATGGGGTGCTGTGGTTTCTGACATATGTGGAAAAAAGCACCAAACAGCTAGAATTCAAAACAAGCTCTACATGGAGGTGCCTTCCCCACCTGGAAGGGCAGATCTTGGTCATAACTCCATGTTGGCCTGCCTGCCAAGTGATGACTGGGCAAATGTGAGTCACCCAGCAGCCCTGGCAATCCCAAACTGTAATGGGACTTCGTTGGAGGAAGCAGAGATGGTGATAGCCAGGGAATAGGCACACATTTAGGCAAGTGACTGGTGGAAACCTCCTGTCCAATTTAGAAACCTCACTCCTAAAAACAATTCTTCTCAACCTGGACAACAATTTGTGGACTTAAACTCCTGAATTGTTTGGGAATTCCAGGAGTTGAAATTCATGCATCTTAAAATTGCCCAGGTTAGGAGACGGTGCCTTACAGGCTGAAATTGTTCAGCATGAGTTTCCAGGCATGTCCTGTTGGCTGTTCAGGGGGATGAGGGTGGAGAAAAAGTAGTTCTCAAGGGGCAGAAATGAATGCCCTGGATTACCACAGAGCCTCTGATCTTGTGGCTTTTGGAGTTCCAGCAGGCCTGAACTCAAGCATGTCGCAAAGCTGCACAGAACTTAGGCCTTCAAGCCCTGGGAACAAGGGTCCTTTTCATTTGTAGAAGTGTATCATCTAGTAGAGAATAGTTAGACTAATTACAACAGATTATTTGGAACAGCCTTCTATTGGTATTTGGATCCCTTTCTCCTCACTAGTCTATTATAGATTTGTGAACACTTGGGTCTGGCATTGCTTCCATGACCTAAAAGGAGGCACGAAGGGTTAGGTATGACCAGGATGTATTTCCACCCTTCCTAGTGATTCTTGCTGCTTTAACCCAACTGGCAAATCAGATGGAGTAGTTGAGAAATGAATTGCAAACCCTCCACCCAGCAGGGTTCCTTGTAGATCCCAAACTCCTCAGGTTCCTGGTTTCCAAGATGCTGCCTGGCAAAGGCTGCAGAGGGCACTGCCTTGCCTCCAGTAGAGCAAAGACAAGGTTCCCCCCCCCTTAGGTTGTAACACTCCCCATTCTTGGTGATTCCAGTCCACTTTTGGAAATGCATTATGTGGCAGTCATTAAAATGCACTTGTGTGCCTCAGAAGGATGATAAGACTCCTTGCCTGCTTCTGGAAAAATATTGGTGTATGGTTCCCAGAGAGGCAGGGCTAGCACCAGAGTTCCTTCAGCATCTCTGCTTGTTTAGGATAGCCTACCCGGAGAGGCCCAGGGAGGAGTGGATCGAACGGCACAGAGGCTGGCAGCAGCCTGAGACAAACTGACAGCTGCCTTGGCACAGCTGGCATAAAGCCACAATTGCACTGCCTGTTCTTCTCAAATGTGGGTGGATGTAATTTCTGGCATCTTATTAAAGATGGGGAGGTGCAGGGAAATCACACAAGGTGGCTTGTGGTGGCACTTGCTTGGAGAATCAAGGCAGGAAAGGTGCAGCCATTTACCCTTGGATCTGCCACCTTAGTCTTCTCTCAGTGGCATAATACTTTGGACAGCTAATTTTATTCATAGGCTGAAACTGTTTACCTATATCTGCTACATCAGGTAGCAAAGGATATTGCTTGGCAAAGCTGTGGAGCCCTGTTTATCGGATGAACTTGACTTCCTATATGGCAGAACAAAAGTTAGCCAGAAACACACATCTTCATAACTTCTTTCAAGCAGGAACAGAGTTTCTCCTCTACCACCCAGATGCTCGTTCTCCCAACTGCCTTTCCAGGGTAATCAACAGCCCAAGAGAAAGACACCTTCAGGAGATGGAGAAGTCATTTTAGTCTGTTAAAACGGCAGCAGAAGGGAAGTCACCTCTTTCACTGACGATGCCCTATCAAGCCTGAAGCGGCAATCACTTCCCTAATAATAGCACCTAGAGTGGAAGAAGCCCAGCTGGCCCTCATCCCCATCAGCAACAATTTTTAGCAAATGCTTAAATGGAAGGCCATATGTCTGTAGGTTTGCTCTAAACCCTGGGAAGGCTGAGAAGGCTTTTTATATAGCATTAATTTAATTTTGTATGAGATTTTCATTATCTATCCTGCAAGCCAAGGATTTGTTTCCCTTTGAAACAGAGCAGGGCCCTGCCTTTCCAACTTTATCTGTCAAGTCTGGTGATCTCTTCTTCCCAGGCATGGCTGAGCAACTGGGATGTCAAACTGCACTCAAATATGACATGTTTTTAAATCAGATGTACTCCAGAGTAGAATGTACTGCCTGAACTGACCATCTCTTTCCTGCCAGAAAATGGTGCCAACCTTGGTGGTGGTGTACTGGGCAGAGTAAGGAGGGGGGTTCCCCTGGGCTTTCTCTCCTACCAGAGTCGCCAACTGGCAAGAGAACATCCAGGGATTGCAGTTGTGGAAGCAAGCCTTGACCAATGGTTCAACCGAGGGGTTAAGCTCAGGTTAAAAGGAGGTTTTGCACAAATGCATTCCAGGACAGATTCTCTTGCCGCTTAGTTATATTCTGCAAAAAGAAGCCGAGCTTCCAAGGTTCCTGCTTTGGGCTGGTCTTTGTTCTTGGTGGTGACGGCAGCAGACAATCAGCACGAAGCAAAGCAAACCATTCTGCTTCAGCTCCCTGTTATACTCAAAATCCAAACACAAAATGAGGAAAAAGGGATCAGGAGGCATCTGTTAAGGATCCACTTTTGTACATGTAATCCTCAATTTACAACAATTCATTTAGTGATGATGAAGTTACAATTATGTCCGTTTTTCACACAACTGTTGCAGCATCCCAATGATCACCTGATCAAAATTTAGAGGCTTGGCAACTGGTTCATATTTATGATGCTTTCAATGTTCAGTCACCTTTTGCAACTTTCTGACAAGCAAAGTCAATGGGGCATCCAGATTTACTTAACAACCATGTTAGTAACTTAACAAATGCAATGATTCACTTAACAGCTGAGGCAAGAAAAGTAAAATGGAGCAAAACTCAACAAATATTTCATATAGTAACATAAATGTTTGGCTCAATTGTTGTAATTAGAGGACTATCTGTATAAAGGTAAAGGTAAAGGTTCCCCTCGCACATATGTGCTAGTCGTTCCCAACTAGGAGGTGGTGCTCATCTCCATTTCAAAGCCAAAGAGCCAGCGCTGTCCGAAGAGATCTCGGTGGTCATGTGGTCGGCATGTCTAAACGCCAAAGGCGCATGGAATGCTGTTACCTTCCCACCAAAGGTGGTCCCTATTTTTCTACTTGCATTTTTTACGTGCTTTCGAACTGCTAGATTGGCAGAAGCTGGGACAAGTAACAGGAGCTCACCCCGTTACGCAGCACTAGGGATTCGAACCGCTGAACTGCCGACCTTTCGATCGACAAGCTCAGCATCTTAGCCACTGGGCCACTGCGTCCCTACTATCTGTATAGGTGGGAACAAATAGCCAAAGCAGTGACAAAATATAGCCCCATCCTCCAAATTAGGATTTAATGTCCAAGTTGCCCATAATGCAGGACAACAATGCTCATGTCATAGGAAATCCTGATTAATTATTTTTCTTATTTATTCATTCATTTACATATTTATATCTGTCCATCCATTAACTATCATCTATCTGTCTATCATACCTATCTATATCTATCATCTCTCTCTCTCTTTTTAAAATATTCTTATTTAGAAACATCAGAAATTGCTTTCCAGAAAAATGTGCTGTGAATCTTGGTGTAATTCTTTCTTTTCCCTGGGAAGGCCTGTTTTTTCAACCTAGCCTTTCTGTTCAGTCTCGTCTTTCTTCTTGACAGACCTGCTTGTTTCACATTGTTTAACAAATGCTAAGATATCAGACCTTTAGGAGAATCTTAAAGCCATCATGCACAAGATGCATTGCAGAGTCCAGGCAGCATCTGCACAAATGTTAGTGCACTTTGGCTGGGATACCATCTGGATGGCACCCTCAAGGCTGGAGGCTTCCTAGCAACCGCCCGCAGAAGAGACATTATTCACAGCAGTATTAGACCTCCTGAGAGCTGAAAAGATCAGCTGTGCTTTTGGAAAGACAGCCTCCACTTCAGCTACCTTTAGCCATGAGGGTCTGGAGGTTTCTCCTCTTTCTTTCCCCTCCCCCCAGAGCCATTATGGTTCAACGCCCCCCTCTAATCTGATCAGACATTTTTGGAGCCAGTTAGAGAGCGTCCCTCCAAATTGTATCCACTACAATCAGCTGGCTAACCAGGATGGCATGGGGTGCTTTCTCAAAGGATTTGCAGATGTCTACTAAGAAAGCTACCTGATCAAATGAGATAAAGTTACTTTGGCAAAACTTCTTGATTCCTGATTATTTCCACTTCAGAACCGTCCCAGGTCTAGATAATTGAATTCCCAGATTCTCCTGTCCCATTTTTAAAAATAACAGCCATTTCCTTCGACCATCAGTGTCTTCAGATTCTCCAGAAATTCTCCAAAGTAATACATGAAATATGGCCAGTTCATCAGCAAGGACGTGGATGAAATTTATGGCATCCTGGAGAGAGAAACTCCAGGCTCTGAAACTGTAAGTCTAGTCTCAGCCTACGATGCTTTGGTACTGCTGGGTGCATAAGACAGCACAGCAATAGGTGTGGATCTGCTCATCTTCTTCTGTTTGCTTGTTTCTTGTGGTTCTGCAAAAGCCTTTTCTTTCTTAGCCAATTAGAGAGCTGTATTATTCCTCACCAGGATTCTGGCTGGTTGAATTGTCTTCCTTT